GAAGTTCATTTTTGGTTTTTAGATGGGGGAAAAGAAAAAGCTTTAAAGCCAAAATTCTGAGCACTGGTCCATGTTTAATGTAGTCACTTTCAAATCTCCTCCAAATCCATCAGCTAATGTGTATTTACAAGCACTTTCTCTTAAACTGCAAAGTCATTAAGTCTGCCCAGTGCAGTAAGTGGCTTGCAGATTGCAGTCTTGGGTTATTTTGTGAGTTATCCATTCAGCAACTTCTTCAGCTTAAATTCCTGAACTCTCTTTTAAAAATTTTAAGAAGTGGATTCCAGGTTTGTCAGGAGAACTAAAGAGAAGAATTTCTTCTGGCATGCTCAAGCTATTGGGATATATCCAATGGCAGCTCTGCATTAGTGGAAAAGGTTTGGGCACCTCCCGTACTTACCACAGCTCTCAGCACTGTTCCCAGCCCTCAGGCACAGGTTGAGGAGGGGTATAAGTAGATAGTGGAGGATTGGTGAAAATCAGATGCCATGATTTGTGAGAGTGCAGTAGCTTCCTGGTGAGGCCATCACTGGGTCCAGAACAACCCAATGTTTGTTTGTTTTAAACAGTTCTCCAGACCACTGTGAAACTTCCTTTTAACTATTGAGTGAGCCTGGAGCTGAGATGGAAAGTGTGGCTTTATCACCAGACCTGCTGAAAGTCCACTTGCTTTTTTTCCTCACTCCTCCCCATCCTTTTTTCCTCCTTTGTCATGTCTTATTAGCTCATAAGCTGCAGGCAAGGGTTGTTTTATTTTTTATTGATTACAAGTAAGCTGCTCAGGGAGGCTTTTTGATGAAGGAAAAAGCTTTAAATACATATTTAAATACATAAGCTTAATGGCATTGAAAGTTTGGAAAGTTCATTATGGGAAGGTGTTGAGAAGAAACTCAGAAAAACAGCATGGATATGTTGCTAGGTGAATTGCAAATGCAGACAGGTATCCTAAGTCCAAATTGCATGTTCCATGGAACACATCGTTTGGCATTACATTTAGAAACATGGAAACAAAGAAATTCAGATGAAGCCCCCCAAGCCATCTAGTCTGACTCCCCGCTCCAGCCACCTTCACTCATGTGATCCCCAACATGGGGTTGTCCAATCTTTCCTTGAACACCCTCACTGATGGGGTCCCTGCCACCTCCCTTGGAAGCCCATTGCATATCCCAGGGGTCCTAACCATCATGAAGTGCTTCCTGAGATCCAACCGGAAGCCTTGTTCCTTGCGCTTTGCCCCATTGGAACATGGCCTGCCTTCCACTGGAGGGAAGAACAGGTCATGGCCCTTCTTCGCATGACATTCCCTCACATTTCTTTTTCTAAATGTTCACATTCTTTTTTTTAACTGTCAATAGAAATCACAGTGGAGAATCAAGCTTTGTGAGCATGATTAAACTGTTTCATCATCTGTTGCAGTCTGAACAAATTCCCTCAAGCTGCCATGGACACCAATGACTATTGCTGAACAACCAGACAATGGAAAACACGGGAGGTGTGTGGCAAATCATAGCCTTGGAACTCAGAGAATCTCAGGTTCAAGTCTTGGAGTTTCTGAGGAGAACTGTTGCCAATTGATGCCAACGGTACTGGGCTACATGGACCAATGATCTCACTCAGCTTAAGGCAATGTCCTGTTCCTATGCATTTAAGCATTTCTGCATGAGACATGTATTGGGAGCTTGCGATCCATGACTATGGTGGTTTGCTCGTACGCTACACAATGTTGTCATTCTCCAGGGCATCTCTCATTTTGCCACCATTTCTACTGCTTCTTTTTAGATTGAGGAAAGCCTGGTATTATCTCTAAATGGTGGCATGAAACCCCTTCCTATTTGTGCCGTTCCACTATACCACAGTGCCACCAAGTGCCTGGGTAATAGAATATATGGAAAGAAATTCCTGGGGTGGGGATGTGCAGAGGAAATGAGCCCTCAAAGAATCTAGAAGCAGAAACCTAGTTAAAGTAGCATGTTAAAAACCCCACATAGAAAAGCTGTTAATTGGATATATTCATTTATGGAGTTCCACTAACTGAACTGTTTCCATCAACAGAATTAGGAGCAGTACAATTCCCCATCCTGGCATCTACTCAAACTCTGTTTCAGAGGGTTGGGACCCCCCACACACACACACACACACACAGGCACGGATGGCTGCAAGGGCAAGCAGAGAGGGGGAAAGTACCACTGTGCTTTTGCTGACACAGACCTCTGCTGGCACGAATCCACAGTTTGACTTTTAGTAACACAAGCATGACAACTGTACTGGCAGACAGGGCCTGCACGATATGGCTGGGATCCTTTGTGCGGCAGGAAAGTTTCACTTCAAAGAAGAGGTAATATATTGCAACTGGGACACACTTTCTCAGCATCTATAGCGGCTGCACCACCATCCATGATGCTGCTATCACAGAAAGTTCACAGGAGACAACTGTGGCAGCTCAGAAGAAAAGGGAACTGATACAGGAGTTAAAAGGGGTGGGTTGAAGCCTGCTATAAGAAAATGTTGATGTTCACGAAGAAACTTTTGTGCTTTGGTCGGCTGGCTGTTGAATACCAAAACATGGAGGAAGCAAGGCAAAAAACATGGAAAGATGAACTATCACACTATATAGCTGCATGTCCAGACAGCACATGGTGGGGCCCTTGCAATCTTCAAAGGAGGGAAGTACATAAACCCTGCCAAATGGACTAAGGAGAGCTCCATGGAAAGCTGCAACTCTGCAGAACAGCACATGTGTAGTGTGCATGAAATACCTGAATTAAACCCCCTGGAAAAGGTTGCCAGGACTCTCATAGATATACCTGAAGTAAGGTGGTATGTTGTCTATCGATGAAGATAAGCGTATACATACTTCTCCATTCAGAGCCACTAGTCAATTACAGCAGGCACAACTCATTTTAACTGTATCTAACTGTATATATATTTAACTGTAGATGTGCAATTTTCTCAGAGAATCCAGATCCAGAGCAGGCAGCTGGGATTTTAACAGAATAAATGGAAACACTGTTTAGAGCACTGGAGAAAAAGGCATAGCTTTGTGATTGTCATAAGGGCCAGCCAATGAGGACTTGACACAGCTGGCTTCTGATGGTTTGGCCCTTGGGACAATCACAAAGCCATTTCCACTGCCCACTGCACTAAGCAGTATTTCAAGGGTGGCTTGTGTGTGTTTGCTTTGACTTTCAAAGTTGTTCTCTGGGAAAGCAAAGACAGCATACAGACGTGTTAGATGATTTTGTTGCTTCCCTATAAATAAAGCTAACAATTCCCTATCCTGATCAGGATCAGAGAAAATGGTTTCATGAGTTTTCAGCAAGATGCAGAAAAACTGTCTGCCATGCATGCCTACTGATTCGTATCCTTGATTTCACAAACAGATTTCGCCACTCTTCAGTTCTCCAGCAGTTTTTGCAATCCGTTGCTTCCAACCATTGAACACATCTTCATTTTTAACTTTGATGGACCATTCTGAGGTACCAAAGACCAGACTTCATATTTACATGATGAATGAGAGCGAGTTAGAGCATGTTCAGCACCCCTTCCCTCAGCACTGACTGCCCACCACCAACCCACAAGAGTCTGAAATGACGGGAGGGAAGCTCCCAGGCCACAATGTGCTGGTGTTTTGAATGATCTGAACTGAAAGGCCCAGGGCCAGACACAGTGTCCTCTGGAGATCACAACCGAACTTTATTCCTATGGTGTCACTGGTCTTTGGAGGATGTCCTGCCACCTCTGACATTATCCCCCAGTCATCTGGGCATGCACTCAGGGACGGCATGCAATTAAAATTAGGCAATTGCCGGTGACATTCTTTTTTTGCTGCTCCTTTTCTTGGGCTTGCAGGAGAAATGAGATTGGGTTGTTTCACTAACATTTTGATCATTTTTTCCAACTGTACTTATACAAGAATCGCCAGAGCAGATCCTTGTTCAGAGGCACAACTCCAGTCTGGTGCTGTCACTGCAGTTCTAAAGTGGGGCTTAATCTGAACAACGATGCAGATCAGTACACTGCATGAATAATTCTGTCTCCATGGAGGGTTAGAGGTGACTAAGGGGTGGGAGAGGCTGGGAAATATGATGAGATAGCTGCTTCTTTCCATTGCCTGCATCTGTGTGCATGCTTAAATCCTTAAGCTATATCCATTTCACACAGAATGACCAACCAGTATTAATTCCTATGCCGATTCATTTCCAAGGGATTCATTTGTAACATGATCGTTTGTACTCAATATTCAGGAGGGGAGATGTGCCAATGCATTCAGGATCAGCAAAGTCTCATACACTTCTTGAGAGTGGAAGCAGGAAGACAGCATTATTATTGGGGGTTCCTCTCCCCCTTTCCCCGCACACCCATCTCCTTTTGCTCTCACTTAAAACTGCACCTACTTACAAGGCAAGTTTGCATGTGCCCTGCTTGCCCCTTGGCTTGTTAGCAAAAAGCTGCGTGGCTCAGCGAGAGAGGCACCGAAGGGCGCAATGTCTGGCACGTACATGCGGGGTCACCTCCCTCCCAGCCCTGGCGGGGAGCGAGCCGAAGGCTGGCCCTTTAAGGGAGCCAACTCAGTCGTGAGAGATGCTGCTGCTCGGGCTTGCTTGAATCCCCAGGAGTCCAGTTAAGAAATAGACAGCTGCCTCTTTAAATGTCATTTCCTTCCATTGTATTTGAATCGTGATCAGGAAAGAGGATGTGAAACCAGAGAGGCTCGGAGGAGAGACCGATGAGCGAGCGGGCCAGCGAGCTTCGGTAATAATAGCAATCATAGCGCAACGGCGGTCATAATGGTGATGGTGCTGCGGGCGCTGGAGCAGCCGGAGATGCTGGAAGCTGCCTCCGCGGCGCGCGAAGCCCTCCCGGGAGCGTGCCCTGAGCTGCACCGGCAGGACACATAAGCCGAGCGCGGAGGAGACTCCGGGATAAGCCCAGCGGTGACAGCTGAGCCGCGGTGCGGCGCACCAGCAGCCGCGGCCGCAGCCAGCGGCGCTGCGCAGCCCGTCGCCCAGAGGCAGGAGGCGCGCTGCAAGGATGGGAGGTTAGAGCGCGAGGGTTGCGCACACACCGAGCCGCGGGATCGCCGGCGCAGCAGCCCACCTTTCCTCCGCTCCGCTCCACTCCGCTCCTTCCCTCTCTCACTCGCTCCTCTGCCCCCCTCTCGCTCTCCTTCCCTCTCCCCGCGTCCCTCCTTTGGTGCTACAGGAGGAAATCCTGTGAATGTCATTGGGGGGGCGGAGGGGGTGGGTGGGTGGAGGTGCCACTCCGCGGCTGGTGCTGGTGAAAGACATTCGGGAGCAGGCAGCCTTCGCGGGGGCAGCTCTCGCCACAGACAAACCCATCCCGTCCAGCACACTACAAAGGACCGAGACCTGCCAATGTCATCAGCCATCGAGAGGAAAAGCCTCGAGCCCTCCGAGTAAGTGGCCTTCGCCCGCCCTCGCCCCGCTCTCCGGCGCGCTGCGCACCTCCAACTTTGCCTCTGGATGGAGAGGCGTCCCCCGCAATCTCTGGGCGCGGGGAGGGCTGGCGGGGTGGGAACGGGGGCCCCGGAGAGTTTGCGCGGTTTTCTGCTCCCGGCTTCTGGAGTGGTCAAAGTGCCGGCTGGCGAGGAGGTACAATGGGGCTGCGGAGGCAAGCGCCCCCACGGCCGGAGGCAGCCCCCGTGCCATCCCGCGCTCTGCCTGGCGAGCGCCCTGCGGGGAGGGTTGGGGTGGCCAGGGCGGCTGCTGCGCGAGCAGAGAGCCTTCAGCTCATCCCGAGAGCGCCTGCTTGCTACTTGTAGGGATGGCGGCCACCAGCCAGAGCCAAGCACGAGTTCCCCATTTTGAGTTACGGCCCGTGTCATCAGATGCCCCATCGCGCTCCTGTTGGAGAGCCGGAGAGCCGGCCATTAACATCGCTGCATTTGCCCCCTTGGTCAGGAGGTGAGGTGTCGGTGATGCTGATGAAAGTGATTTCAAGATGAAAGAGGTTATGAGGCTAATAGTTTCCAAAAGCCCATGTTGCTTTCAGTCTCTCAGGCCCCTCCCTACCCAGCTTAACTTGCTGATTAGACTTAAAGGTCAGGGCTTTTATCAGATGCGTGCTCAACTTTCATATTTTCATAATGCACACCATTGGCTTGAAACTTGCAACAAAATGTCAAGCCCGCGTGTCTGTACAGGAACCAGGACACTAACGAGAACAGAGAGGTCCGTTCCTCCCTCCGCCCCCCCCGCCCGCCCGCCGGGCATGCTGGTGAAGGAAGTTCAAAATGCACGCGTTGTTGCAGAATTGGGATTCCTGATGGATTTATTGCAGGGATCCAGCTGTGCTCCCAAAGTAATGCCGAGATAGCACTATGCTAAGATTATTAACTCGCTGCATCGCTGGTGAGTTAGACTGGGATTTGACACCTACCTGGGAGCAAGTTTCATTGGACTCGGAGGAACTTACTTCTGAGTAAGCATGTGTAGGAGTCAAGTTGTGTACGTCTCCACTTACACTGGTTGTGCTTCACTTACCTAATTCACAGTAGCTCCATGAAATAGGAACTGGGAAAGCATATTTTAACTTTAAGTGCTTCTTTTTTAAAAAGTCATGCATACTTCAGTAATTTATCGACTGTTCCCATGAGGTAGCATAAAACTAGGATATGATCCAATACGTAGCTATTCAGGCTGGTCCCACTGAAATAACAGGAGCCCTTACTGAAGAGAAGTGGCTTAGAAAGCCCTACGGCCCAACACTAACCATGCTTTCTGGGGAATAAATTCTCCTGATTTGAATTGAATTTACTCTCAATTAAGTGTAAATAGGATCGATATCAATTTCATTCTAGTAAATCACGGACCTACACATTGACTAGAGTGACAAAAACATTGTACATTTGCTATAATTGTTTCTGTTCACCATCTCCCCTACTGTAGTAATTAAGTAAGTAATTACACTTCTGCCCAATAGCTGATATTCTCTGGGCACTTTGCAGTTAAAAAACTAAAATGCCACAGAACTGTTAAATCTAAAATACAACACATGTTTAAAATATTATGGGATATAATAAAATGCAAATGTTTAAAATATTATAAAGTATGATATAATGCAAAACACTCCGTAGAACAGCTGTAATAGCCTAAAACTTTAAGCATATATCTAGTGATACTTCACACTGCAACCCTGTGCACACTTACTTAGGAGTAAACCCATGAAACTCAATAGGACATAATTTTGTGCAAACATTCAAAGGCTTGTGCTGTTAATTTTATAAGGAATTTTTCTAGCTGGCAGAAACAAAAAGTGTGAGATCTACTTGGCATTCTATGTTCTAATATAAAAGTGCTACATCCAGAGGCATTTCCTTTTAAAATTCTCTCTCGTTGTGGTATACTAAAGGTACATGGAATCTCTTTAAAAGAACTATTGCAAACCAGTAAGAATTATAATAGTGTAAGATCTTACATTTCAAAATGATAATTTTAATTCTTTAGCTATTTATATATTCCCTAAGAATGCCATGCAGATAATGTCCATGTGTTTCATTAAATGGCACAATAGTTTTCTTATCCCTAGACATTTTAAAGTATATGAACACTTTCAGGAGGCACGTGAAAAAAAAAGAACAACAGCTTTGCTTTTTTTACTGTGGGTTGGGTAGCAATGCCACTGCTTAAAATAATGTGCAGAACAGATACTTAAATTTTGAGGATTTTTGGTTTAATCCTGTTCAGCAAGAAAATCCTACTGATGTCACTGGCAATATCCTCCATAAAAGCCTGCAGGCTAAAATAAAAATAGATGGATCGAGAGATAGATAGATACAAACCACTTGAATACAAAAATAGGAAGTGGGAAGTGTAAAACATCAGATCTGCTCATCCATACTACTGTATAAGTATGGGCTGTTAGATGGGAGATTTTTCTTCATAATGGCAAACATCTGTAGAACTTGAAGAAAATAATATTTGATGATAAGGTTATGTTTCAAGGAAACACAAATTGAAGGAGTTTCACTTTCCAAAACTATGGTTTTGAGGTAGTTTAGTCAGTTTTCATTACCTTGTTTCTTGTAAGATTGTTTTGAAATAGTTTAGGCCGCTTACGTGTTTTTCCAGCTTAGGACACAACAATGCATGTGCAGAAGGAAAAAGTCCTAAGTCTCCCAGCATTATGCAGCCTGACTTTTTTCTGTCTACACCTGCACAGAATGTACAAGCCTACTCCCAGTCCCAGTACGTGAGTGATTATGATTGTGAGAGGTTGGGAGATGGCAGCTGTTTTGCCCTGTTGGTTATCAGGAATCTAATCAAAATCAAGTGCAAGGGAGACACAGCCTTCTCCTGGATTTGGCAGCTGTGGAATGGTGTGTCCTCCTTCGACCAGCTGGTAACTACCCTGTCATCCCACCAAGTAATGGTATGGATCTGGATAGAATATAGCTTCCCAGCTTGTCTCACGAGAACAGGACTACCACTGGTCATAATTTTCTGGGGTTTGTTTGGAGAAAAAGTTATTTCCTTCTCATTAAAAAATAATATCAAGTGATCATTTAAAGTGCATATTTAGATGGGGAGAAAGTCTACAGTTCCCAGCATGCTCCAACCAGACATGTGGCTGGGGCATGTTGGGAGTTGAGGAACCTTTTTCTGTCTAAACAGGCATAGGATTACGTCCTTAATGGGTGCGAGAGTAAGATGTGACAGGGGAAAATCCAGTCTAGGGAAGGGAACTGGTGGAACCAGAACTTGCCTAGGCATGCACTGTGCTTGTTTCTTATTAGCCACCATTGCGCTGCATGATAACTTTAACTGTCCTTTTGACAGGTTTGCATTTGTGTGCTTAAACCGACCACGCAACATCAACAGTGACTGGAATCTACTCTTGATTTCATTTTCTGTCCTGTAGTTTGATCATTCAAATGTAGTGCAAATGGTATGGGACAGACTGTAATGAACTTACTTGGCATAGAAACTGTCTTGAGTAATACTTGGGCTGAGGGATGGAGCAAACATCATTAAGTGTTTGAGTAAGATGCATAACTTAAGCCAGTACAGCACACTGTTCACTTTGAAACTGTGAAGGATTGTTATTTCTTCTTATTCAGTAGCAATGTTTATGAGCTTAAGGTTAAACATGTGCTAAAAATGTCTTACTGTGAGTTGCTGACTATGCAGACTGTCAGTGTTTCCCTAGGAGAAATTCTCAACAGCAGTTGCAAAATGGAATATCCAGAGAACAAAGAGGTTTTCTGGGAGATAATGGATGTACCTGAAGAAACGGCTTTCTTCTAACTCTTAATTTATCCAGTAATTATTTTTACTTTTTCTCCCCAAATAAAAGCTTTGTTTGTTTTGGAGATGTGGAGAGATATATTACTTCTTGATAGTATTTACCACATGTCATTGTTGGGAGTTGGCTCTTTCCACATTCATATGATGTAACTCATATTTGTTTCAAAAATAATAGAAAAGAGGGATATTATAAATAGGGAAAATAATTATTAATTAGAGGGGAAACAAATGCATCAATACAAGATAGGGAATACTTGGCTCAATAGTACTGAAAAAGAAAAAAAACCTTAAAGTTGTAGTAGACAACAAGCTAAACATGAGCCAGCAATCTGATGTAGCCACAAAAAGGGCAAACACTATTTTGGGAAGCATAAATGGAAGCATCACTTCCAGGACAAGAGCGGTACTAGTTCCCTTTTACTCAGCACTTGTCTGACCTCACCTGGGATACTGTGTTCAGTTCTTGGCACCCAGGTTTTTTAAAAATGCAGAAAAACTAGAATGGGCTCAGAGAAGGGCAATGAAGATGATCCAGGGTCTGCAAACTAAGCTCTGTGATGAGAGGCTAAGAGAGCTGGATATATTTCACCTTTGGAAGAGAAGACTATGAGGGGATATGATAACACTCTACCAATACCTCAAAGGCTGTCACAAAGAGGAAGGAAAGATCTCATCTCACTCATCCCTTAGTGTAGAACATGGAACAACAATCTTACAGCACACCAGACTCAGGCTAGAAATCAGGAAAAACTTCCTGTCAAAGAGATACAACAGTAGATTTGGTTGGTAAGAAAGGTCCTGGGCCTTCCCATGCTGGAGACGTTCAAGGTGAAATTGAACAGTCATCTGAGTGGTATCGTGTGACTTGGCATCCTGCACCAGCAGGGGTTTGGACCTAATGGCCTTCTTGTACCCTTCTGACCTTATTCTATGAATCTATTAATACAGAACTCCTGCAACAAAATGTTGCAGTGTGGAAACTGAAATTCCATGCCATGAAATGGCCATGCCATTTTTACAGGATATTGCATTCCCTTTCCCCATCCACCCCCAACACACAATCAGTATTCTACACCCATAAGTACGCTTCGTCCCAATTGAACAGTTTGTGACATTTCCCCTCCCTCTTATTTTTTGTATTTTCCGCTGATACCTCCCCTTTATGGTATTAATATTATGGTATATTTTACCAATATGGATGGTATTCTTCTAACTACATCAAGAAACAAATTCGGAGGATGATGTTACTCTTAGTTTGTAGGATTATTCATCATCTCTAAGTTAAAGTTGGGACAGAAGTGGATAATTCATAAGAAACTCATTGTAGTTGCAGGTGGACAAACAGATGTGCAGCAAACCCACTGCAGTATGGGTGTTGTTACATTATGTTTTCAAAGTTATAACAGGGCAATGGAAATTGTTCTGAGGGGATTTATTGGAATTACAAAAATATTGTGAAATATAGAGGCTATCAATTGCTCAGGTTCGAAACACAAAATAGCTTTTAGTTAAGAGCAGGATGTGATAGTAACATTTCAAAGGTACTGTTGGTAATACAGACAGAGGCAAAAGATACATTTCTTTATCTTATACCAGACTCCTCATTGGGATTAGAACATATTTATTTATTTATTTAAGATATTTTTACCCTGTCCTATACCAATTGTCTTTGGACGGCTTACAGTGTGATAGATATCCAATAGATACAACAATCAATAGCAAGATAAAATATGACTGAGATTGTTAATAAAACCTGATTAAAATATTTAAACTTTAAAATATTGGGTAATTAAAAAGAACCAAATTGAAGGAAAAAGCCATTTGAAGTATTCAGTCACATATTGTTACAACGTGCTCCAAACCTATGCATTTTTGGGGAGGTGCATCTTTTCCAGCCAAAATTCTGAATATGTTTACTCAGAGGTACTGCTAAGGTCAATGGACAACAGCTTTTCCTATTTAAATTGCTACTTTAATCACACATGTACTCCAATCCTATGCATTTTTCCCCACAGGAATGTCTGTCCATTGAGTCCATTGGGGTTTATTCCCAAGTATTGTGTGCATAAGATTGCAGCCTTATAAATTACTACCTTTCTCAAAGCAGTTTCACTTATTATGCTACAGTTGCTACCAAAGTTATACTACACAGGGTTAAAAATTACCTATCTCACAGAACAAGGACAGACAAAATCAAGACTCTAAAAAAACTACTAAAACTTCAGTTAGATCTACGTGATATCATTTACAAATGCTATTAATATTTCTAATTAAAGCAATTACTTAAAATATTCATCATAACAGCACAAACATTGCTACATATAACAAAATAGGGAAAAGGTACAAATATAAAAATATGTTTTCTCCATTATGAACTTGTGTACATGCCTTGCAGTTCCTCTGTCTTTAAATTCATTATCACAGACCAGTAACTCAGAAAATGAGTTACAGGGAAGTTACAGTTACTTCACTGATGCAGCACCCACAAAAAGTATAACTCACTGGAAAAAGGAGAGGTCATGCTTCACTATTTTAGGCACAAGATTTGCAGTTGGTTAATCTGAGTTACCAGAATAATCAGCAATACTATATATAGTGCTGATTTTGGGTGAAAACAAAAGCAGTCCAGACAATGTTTTACCAACTAACGCTTTCATCTTCCTTGTTGACATCTTGAACATTGTTATTAATAGAAAATATGTTCAAGGTAGTGTTCTGCAGCAGCAAAGTAACAATAAAAAAAATACCCCAAACTTTCACCAAATCACTTGTAGTGATTCTACAGCTCATATAAACTGTACACAAATTTAACATTTCCGTAGATATTTATTCTGGTCATTCCTCCCACCCATTGTATATGAGATTTCCTCAAGGATTTCCCCCACTTTCAAAATGTCCGTAATGTCACTGTCTCACACCTAGTTCTTTTTTGTCTGTCTGGTGTTTTAAAATTAATTTCTATACCATGAAAGTGAAATGTGGATGCAGCTCCTGTTTGAATAAGACTGTCGTTGGTTTGGAGTGCCTGCTTTGCTTTGTTCCTAAAGCCTGCTTCTTTCCACCAGGGAGCCAGTGGATGAGGTGCTCCAAATCCCTCCTTCCCTATTAACATGTGGGGGTTGTCAGCAGAACATTGGGGACCGCTACTTCCTCAAAGCTATTGACCAGTACTGGCACGAGGACTGCCTCAGCTGTGACTTGTGTGGGTGCAGACTTGGAGAAGTGGGAAGGCGACTGTATTATAAACTGGGCAGAAAACTCTGTCGAAGAGATTATCTCAGGTATACCTTTATCTAATGTCCCTTTTGACTTCCATCCTGCTTTTGTTCCCCTGCCCACACAATTATTTAGAACAAAGCTGGGATCTACCCACAAAATTACAGCACAGGAATGAGAGGGACTAGATTCAGCTTTTGTTTGATGGAAACAAACTAGTTTCAAAAACTAAGAATGGGTGGGCCAATTGAGCTGAGAGGTATCTCAAAGTCTGAAGATATGCGACTGGTGGTGGGGCGGGCAAGCAACTTCTTCACCCTACAAAACCACACTTCTGCAGCCTGAATGGTGAAGTTAGAGTCACACAATATGGCTTAGCAACAGAACAGGGAAAAGGAAGAAAAAAGTATGCTAGCATTGCAGGCCAGTACACTAGGCAAAAGTTTAAAGACTGGTAATTAAACATGTATTTCTCCCTAACTGGCTGAGTATGATTGGAGCTGTTGTGCAACGCATCTGCAGGGCACCAGGCTGAGGAAAGTTGGTATACACACTTATGATGCAATCGAATGCATGACAGACAGAAAACAAGGCCTATGACTCCCAGCAGAAGTTGTAAGGTTTTGTTTTGTCTGGCGAAACATGCTTAGCATTGCTGTTTTAAGATGCTTTGCTTCTCTTGGCCATATTTTTCTTTAGAAGAGTATCAAGGCTAGTTTATTCTCTGTTGGTTGATAATGTGTGTTCTTCACTATAATTCAAGGATATTTATGGTTTGCCCTCTCTAATATATTGAACTTGTGAGATATTGTGAAGCCGTGGGAAGGAACTCCTCTTTATTTACAGCCCGATCTAGCTCGGTTAACATACTCAAAGTTCACCTTGTGTGGACAGGAATAAAGTGCTAACCCACCTAATTATCCCACTTCAGAGCTTTTTCCAGCAGTGGTTTTGTTTGACTAGGGCCAGCTTTGCGTAATATAATATGCAGTAAATCTCCAGCGTACATGCAACACCCTGGAAGGATTCAGTCCTATTTCCACTAGCTGAATATTTTCTCACTGTAGTGGCAGAAAATATGGGCTGGTAAATTAATGCATTTTCTGTGCCTTGTAATTGGATGCGTCCTGTCTTTTCACAGTATAATGTGTTAATTATCTGTGTCTGCTAATGAAGAATTTCATAGACATGGGCTGTTAAATTGGCTTTTGTATTTCCTGAGTCTGTAATTCCAGCGTAAAAAACTGCATTGGCTTTATATATATATATAATATATATATATATATATATGAGAGAGAGAGCAATTTAAAACTGGCTTTCTTCCATCTTTTAATCCAACATTTAACATCTTTTCAAGTGACACGTTTTAAACTAAAAGAGGTTCTTAGAGTAAGTTATAAAAGCAGTCATATGTAACAATTATTTACTGTTGTAATGGAGAAATGAACAGTGACACCTCTTGGAAGACAAAGGAAGTATGACTGCATCTTTCCTGGGGATTGTAAATGAGCCGTTTTTAGTAGCATGTTAAAAAATGGCAAACCCAATTTGAAATTCATGCAAGTACACAGATACAGCAGATATATACTTATTCTGCTACCCAGGAGCCATATGCTTAAGTAGCCCTATTGGAATATTTGAGGGGGGACCCAAAAAACCCCAGCAATTATCTTCTGGAGGGCAGGCCCCTTGTAGAACAGGTTTTCCCTGCTAGATGAGAGTTGTAGGAACCCATTTACATCAGTGTACCCAGCTGGGTTGCTGTGAGAGGGAGGCTGCAATCGACTTCAGGGAGGTTTTTTTTGGAGACTCTTTCAACACATTTGCCTATTTTGCGACGGCTGATTTACACGAACAATGTGCAGTGGGGAAATTTTGTTCAGCTGTGTGTTCAGCATTTTTTGACCAAAAACGGCATGACCTTGTCCCTGTTCACCTGATCTTGCCCCTTGTGACTTTTTCTGTTTCCTTGGATGAAAAAGTCCTCAAAGGAAAACAAAAATAGGCAGAAGCGCTAAATGGCATCAAAATCAAGTTCAAAACCTGTTTTGAGCAGTGAAAAAAGATCCCAGTAGGTGTATTGCATCAGAGAGTACTTTGAAGTGACTGAAGTTTGAACATGTAAAAATAAATACATGATGTTTTATAAATAAATTCCTGGGGCTTTTTTGAGTCCCCCCTCATACTATTCCAATGCCCCTATTAGAATATATTTTGACTCATTCTATTAATACATTCATTATATGTTTTTCAGCGCCAGGTCAAGACCTTTTTATTGGGCCAATATTTTAACACATAATTTTAGTGATATGACTTATTTTTATTTTAATTGATGCTCAGCGTGGAATAGTTAATTTATTTTATTCTGAAATAATGTGGTAAGCCATCCAGAGACGACAGTAATGGACGGCATACAAATTTTTAAAATAAATAAATAAACTGGAATTCTTACAAAGCTTCTTCTAAAGACAAGATTACATACCATCAATATTTATCTTGCACATTACACTGAGCACCCTCTGAAAACTTAAAAATGAAACCATGAGCTCTCTAGTAGGGGTGAACAGAAAGTGATTTGCACTTCAGCTTCCAACGTTCCTGCCCATTGTTCATGCTGACAAGTGCTTCTGGAAAGTGAATCCAAAACATCTGGAGAAGTCAGCCTTCTACCCTCTACCTTCTGTCTATCTCTGCTCTGCAGGAAATCGTAATGGTTGCAGGATACCAAAACAAAGGGCAATAAAAACAGTTGAATTTGGACTAGGATTCCTAGAAGTTCACAGAATCCATGGCCAATCTGTTGATTAAGAGCTGTTCTATTACCATGGGAATATTCTAATTGGAAAGAAACCTCATGTAACAAATACACACTCCTGTAATAATAATGTTGATTGCTTAATTATCTAAATTAGAACACAGCCTGTCTTTCAATCTACAGGCAACTTGTCTAGGTTCCTTTTCCCTACCCTCATGTCCTCCAGGAGTTTTGGACTTCATGCTCCCTCAGACCCACCCAGGAGGACCAAGAGTAAAGGATGTTGGGAGTTGTAGTCCCACACATATGGAGGTCACAGGTAGGGGAAGCCTAGTCAAGGAAGACATAAAACAGAACAACAGCTGAGAATTGGCAATGGGAGCAACAACCTCCTCTGCCCCCCACTTGCTTCTTCCTTGCTTGCTTCAAAAAACTGTCCTGTCTTTAAATTGGTATTAGTATTGATTAGTTTGATTTCTATACCACCCTGTAGCCAGAGTTTTCCATTCGAAGTTCTAGACAACTTTACACAGCAAAGACCAAGGATAGGCAACTAGCCTTGTGTTTTACTTCATGAGAAATATATTTTGAAAGTTTGCCTCTTTAACATTTTGGAATTTTTTCTCCCCAAAGGCTTTTTGGCCAAGATGGCCTCTGTGCCTCATGTGACAAGAGAATTCGGGCCTATGAGATGACCATGCGAGTGAAGGACAAAGTGTATCATCTGGAATGCTTCAAGTGTGCCGCCTGCCAGAAACACTTTTGTGTCGGTGACAGATACCTTCTCATCAACTCAGATATAGTGTGTGAGCAGGACATCTATGAGTGGACTAAGATCAATGGGATGATATAGCTCACCTGTGCCTCATAATCTCCAAGACACACTTCATGGGTGACACAAATACCTAGCTGTGGCAAGGAGATTATCACTCACAACATCTATGTGCTTTGTCTAAGGAAAGGGAACATGCAAAGAATGCAGATGCACTGCATTGTGTACAAACCATGATTGGGAACTGAAACTGTAGTTGTTTGATGGATTTCTGTTAGCAAATATGCTTTGATGTTAAACTGACACTTTTGGAGGTGACGGTGAAAGCTGGGGAATCAATATAACAATGGATTCCCTTGTCTGGAAATATAGTAGTGACATGTAAAAATATATTATGGCTTTGACATTTGCAGACTAGGTTGTGCAACTGAATTTTCTTTATGTCATTTCTATTTAATCTACGTAGACCATAATAATACCAATGTTAATCCAAGATGGAACAGCATCAGGAGTGTGCATTTGGGGAGGGGAATGGTACTTGCATCCTTCTGTTTTGGATGTAGAAAGAGAGCCTGTTTTAAATTTTTGCATGAAAATCAGGTTTGTGGGGAGGGGTCAGCTTGAGAATGAAAAGTACAACCTTGGGCTGAAATGCAGCACAAGACACAACTTGTTATAGACATTTAAGTCTTTGTGAGATCAGTGGAACTTAATGGCATGTAAGTGGGATGCAGGACTGTAGCCTTAAATGCTAAGCAACTGGTTTAGGAAATTAAAGCAACAGTCCTATGTATGTTTGCATAGAAAAAAGGCCCAAAACTCCCATTATTCCCCAGCAACCAAGCTAGGGCATACTGGGAGTTGTAGGCCCTTTTTTCTGTCCAAACATGCATGGAACTGTGCCTTAAGAGGAATACCTGCCTTCTGCTCCCATTGTTTGATCAGAAAATCCACTGCTCATTTCTATACAAATATAAATTTAAAGAGTTGTTCAGCTATTTTATTAACTTGGGCAATATCCATAAATAATTTGTTGTGTGTAGTTGGAATCTGCTGATTTAATAATAAAAAATGACTGATTTGAGAGTTGTCATTCTTTCCATTTAACTATATGAAGAGTTATTCTAGATAACCAGTTTGTAGTAAAATGAATATGTGGCTCTTACTTGTTTCTTGTGTGCACTCAGTTTCTTCTCTTGAGTTGTGCTTTTCTTCTAGGGATATTACATTCCCCTAGCACTGAATATGCTGTTTTATAAATATTGTATTGCTTTTGCCTGTTGTAAACTGCTGTGAGCAATACAGATGCTTTTGAAGGACAGGATAGAAGTTCTATTAATGGGAGAAAAAGGTATTCTTCTTACAGACTGTTTATCCATTGCTTCTGTAATTATTGTATGCACTGCAATGGAATGAGTGTCACAGGTGCCTGTCACTTGAGTGATGCAGTGGTTTGTCTCTTCTCTGCTCCATGCCCAGGTTGTTTGTGACTTCTTGTTTTAGTAAGCAGTTTAAAATCTTTCTAGGTGGAATAGTCCTCTCTGATTTTACTCCTTCTGTTTGAGGGAAAAGTAGAGAGCATTTACATATCCCACACAGAGTGACACTGAATATTTTCAGTGCAGGTTTTTTTTAAATATATATACATGCTTTCAAGTAAGTCTAATTTTGTTCAATGCAGCATATTCCCTACTAAATGTGTGTAGGATCACCACCTAAGTTTTTCTTTTAATATTATTGAGTTCTTTCAAGATTATATCCTATCACCTTCAACCCTAGGTTTTGCTGTTTTGTTTTGTTTTGGGGCAAATAAATCTCTCATTTATTGAGTCTGGAAAGGATATTGCGCTATTTTCTTTAAATTGAAACATAACTGATTATTGTACAAAGATTATATGCAGTTTAGGCATTCGTTCACTAATCATCTGAATACGCTCTAAGGAAACTTCAGGTCTAATACTGCTGTGAGTTACATGCTGACAGGAACCATCAATTCCTCCAAGACTCATCGAGAAGTAATTTGCAATATTCGCAACATGTTTGGTACACCTGCGGCACAGCAAAAGCTTAGCAATCCATCCATATCCCTAAGGGAAAGATATAATCCCAGTGTAGCACCAAAAAGTCTGATGGGTTTTGACGTGTTCATGATGAGAGAGTGCTACAGCAAGGCAACTTTAGTCTCTGGTCTGAAATCACAGACATGGCATTTAGACAACCAAGGGTGTTATTTCAGCTGCTGCACACAACTAGCATTCTCGTTCCTTTCCTGCCCCACCATTCCATGCTTCACCGTGGCTTCTATATGCTGCATCTGGCAGAACAAAAAAGCTCTGTTTGTCAATCTTGATATTTAAAAAAGTAACATTCTGAGAATGAACGGTTTTACATTTTAAATTCCCTTAATAGATGGCATGATCATGACCTCAGGAATAAAAAGTCATCTGCTGCCCTGCTAAACATAATGATTGGAGGATGAGCACAATTATGTGGTAGAAAAGGACCATATATTTCTAAATTAAAAATAATAAAATGAGCATCTGTAGCCATGTATAGGTCCAGTTGGGTTCTCCTAAACTCAAAAAGGTTTCTTTTTAAAATAGGAGAAGATGCTGAGGCAAGCAGCATCTGTCCTAGTGGGCTCTGTGGCATCCACGCTCAGGTGTTGACACAAGGCCTGTTTCCAGTGCCTTGTCACCTGCTGCTTTCTTGGAGGTCATTTGGGGGATCAGAACTTTGGTCCAAGATTCACATTTAGCTCTACCACTGATGACACAGTAAGTAAGCATTGAACAGGGAAGCAAAACTGTAACAGATTTCAAATTTTAAAAATTGGTTATTGAGCTTAAAAATAAACCCAGGCTCCAGTAACTTCACCTCCAGGATGAAAGGAGGATCCCCTTAAACTATAACTTGTACTTCCTTGTATGATATAGCACAGGTAAACTATGATTGACATATATTTCATGGTACATTGAATTAACAGAATTAACACTTTTGCACAATTGTAAAGCATCAGCCATTTGGTAGAGGTAGGCCTGACTGTCCTCTGGTTTAGTCACCTAACAGTACAATTCTTTTTTGTACAGAAGATCTCTATCACTGGCATTGGCATGGTGCTAACAACATTGGTAATGGTTCTGTCTCTGCCAGTCTTCCCTGTTTATCTTTTATCGCTGCTCACCTTCCCATCAAAATATGAACAGGCAGACTTCCTGAATCAGACATTGTGCCTGTTGCTCCCTCTTCTTTTTTACCTTCCCCTGCCTGGTTTATGGTTGATTTATTATTTTAAAATCCTTGTTCATATTTGTATTGATTTCCATAATTAACATCCTGACAGTCTCTTCAAATATTTCAGACATATGGTCCTACATTGTTTGCAAAACAGTGCTGTTCCCATATAAATGCATAATGTCCCACCTATTACGTGACCTTTTAAAATGTAAGAGGTTGTCTGCCAAGTACTTTTGCCCACACAACTCTAAAGGAAGTGCAATTATTCCAAGACATGAACTCATAGAGAAAAAAAAACATAAACAAGAAAATGAACAATCCTGCAATGCAGATGTAGCATGGCTGCAAAAGATTAAGGTTGTGACAACTTTGTTAGTTAGATTCATGAGCAGGACTGTTGCTAAGGGTTTGACTGTACAATGCTAATGTATAAGGCCAGAGCGAGCGAATGATTTTGCTGGGGGAAAAGGCCTCTTGTAAGAGCTACTTTGAGAAAAGAGCAGGGAATAGCAAGGTCAACGTGCACATTTTAGAACAGCAAAAATTGCACTTCACTGTTGGATATACTACTTCTTATTGCAAAACTCATTGAGAATCATTGGTCAATTTGTTTCCATTCTTCCAAGTGAAAAAAGCAATAGAGTCTAAATCTTCTTTTGTAAAAAGAGCACAATAGCAATGAGTAATTTACAGTGAGAACTCCCTTTCTTCCTGCCCTTAAACAGCTAATAAAAACATTCCACCATGAGCCACAGAAATTAAATCTGAAAATAGCAAGGGAGATGCTGATACTGAATTATTTGTCTTTTGAATGTGCTTTATTTTTAAAAGCACATTATTATCCATAGTTTTCATCTATTGTCCCCATTATTCAATGCCATGGTTTGAAGATGAGAGAAATACTGGAAGTATCACTTTTTAATTTTGTGTCCTTGAGAAAAAGGGCAATATCAACACAGCATAATGCAGTTTTTAGTGGCAGGAGTAGATGGGAAGCGGTTGTTAATGCAATATCTTTACTGAAAGCTGGCTATAGCAGCTGTCTTTCCTGTCTCTTTTCTCAAGGTAATACTGTGCTGCAAATTGTTGTTGTACCTAGGAATCAAATTATTTGAATTCTGGACACATCAGCACAAAACTGAAGACACGTTGCCAGATCTGTGGCATGCTTGGAAAAGAACACTGCAACATCACTCATTTATATGACTGTCAGTCTGATGCTGTAAATTCTCAAAATGAGGAGGCCACGGGTGCTGCACTTTTTGTCTTTCTGCTTCTGAATCATCTCCCTTCAATATCCAGTACAAGCTAACATTTAATCTCTGCACGTCCTGGCTTTCAAATATCTGCCAGATATTGACAGAGTTTGTCAATGATGTAAATTTGAATGGACTAAGACTGCAACTTAGTTACACTGACTTACAACCCCCCAAAAACATATGTCATTTCAGAAGCATGTAGTTTAGAAATAATCTACAAAAGTGTTTGTGATTCTAAAACCACAATATAACTGGCATTTTTATCTGTGGCAGGTTTACCTCTTTTGCAGCAGATGCTGCACTGCAAGCAATGAAAATTCAAGTAAACAATTCATTTTCTTTTCTGCTCTGTAAGAAAAATAAACACTCCGTAACTCCAGGAAAGAAAAGCTAAAGGGCAGTTCTTAACAAGTAAATATTTAAGACAGGCTATGTGTAGTATTCATATTCAGTAGCCAACTAAACCACACAGATTAACTTTAGACTGACAGCAGGTTAACCCTTCTCATAAATGATCTGCTTCATCCTTTGGGGCAACATGAAAAGACAACTCTTTGAAAGTACCTAGTAAGCCCAAATAAACCTGTACACTATTTAAGATAAGACAAATTAAAATATGTTTTGAGAGCATGCATTCATAAGAGAGCAAAGAAAGTTTGCCATGTTAGAAATAGACTGCTTTTAATTAACACACATCCCTCCTTCCTTCCAATTCAGTAATACATGGGACCACATGTGACCACATAAAAGAGCACATAAAAGACCAATGGCTGCGCTCTTTTAAATCCTTCATGCATCCAAATGCTTGAAAGTTAGGGGTCTGAACCATTGAATGGCCTATTCCTCACAGACATTTACAGGCTAAAGTATCTTTTTAGGGTGAACATACCAGAGATCTCAGACACCTTCAGAGCAAATTCTCTCAAAACTAAAAACAATATTTCCTTGGATGAGGCTAACAAGGTACATATGCCTCACCTGAGCACAAGGAAAGCTGTCCAGTTCAGGAGCAGAGTAATCCTTGGGAACTGGTACACTTCAAGTTCAGTGTAGCATGTTGATAAATCAAAGGAACCAACTTTGTTTTTTGAACCAGGCCAAACCAGCAGGAAGAGAAACAGCTGGTATGCAGCACGGTTAGAATAGTCTGTGGGTGGGGGAAATGATAAAGGCTATGCACCAGTTGGCCTGCCCAGTCTAGACAATAAAAATTAAAATGCTGAGGCATTCACACAAATTTCACTTTAAAATTTAGATGCTAGACACTTGAGGCAATTTTAGGTGGCAGAAACAGATTGGCAGGACTAAATCAGGGACAAAGTAACGTGGTCATTATTTTAGAGAATGTTGTACTACCACAGAAACAACACTGGTAAAATCCAGCAAGTCTACTATTTAGAAGTAACTTTTCATAATATGATTGCAGCTGACAGATTGCCTCACCTCACAAGTGAACCACAGAGTGATGTGATTTCTACATCTGTGTCTGCTGTCACAGCTTGCATATTTATAGGATCAGGTTGAGAAGATGTGTATAGAATCTATTCATCCATGTATGAAAGATTGCCCCTAAATGTCTTGACAGGTGAAAGTAGTCAGGATGGAGTGGGATAAATATTCTAATAAACACAAACATAAGCAATCTTATGTTTATTTGTGTTGTGTTTTTACATCCAGGAAACTGTGCATTGCATTATAGCCTAACACTATCTAATACTGTCTGTCTATATAATTTATTTTGCATCATGGGAAACTGCATGACCCAAAGGTCAGTGGGTTTTGGCCTCAAGGCATGAACTGATAAACATAGTAAATTGTCAGGCTGATAACATGAATTAATTACTGTATAATATTTTGTAATAGAGTGTCAATAGTATGTTAACAGATAAAAGTTCTAGATGATACTGACAAATTGGTAACAAACAAATCACTGGGTCCAGATGGTAACTGCCCATTAAATCTTTCCAAAGTAAATCTGAAATTAGTGAACTTTTAATATATTACTATGAGTAACGTCATTAAAAAAAATAGGATCCATTGGGGATTTGGGAAATTACAGGCATATTAGCATACTATTCCAGGTAGATTAGTGGAAATAATGTTACCGATAAAATTATCAAGCATGTACAGAAAGGGTTCTTGCTGAAGAAGAATCAGTATGGCTTCCAGAAAGTCCTTTCTCCCTACTGTTTTAGAATTAGTTGTACAACACAATAAGCCACACTGTACAACACAATAAGCCACAGAAGGGAATACTTGCCCTTCTACAGGTATTCCACGGGACCCTTCAGGAGCACTGCAGTTCCACCCACCACCAGCACTGCCATGGCAACCCAGTCATATGCTTGGATTTTCAAAAGGCTTTTGACAAAGCCCCTCACCAGAAACTCTTCCCTAAATGTAGACATCAATGATCCTCTTATGAATCAAAAACCAATTAAACCAATTGAGAACCAGTGTGGTGTAGTAGTTAAGAGTATGGGACTAAGATGCAGGAGACCTGGGAGCTAACTGGGTGACTTTGGGCCAGTCATGAACTATACCATGAACTACAACTATAGTGTTGCAGTGAGGATAAGACTGAAGAGGAAAATTATATAAGCAGCCATGAGTTCCTTGAAAGAAAAAAAGGCAGGATAAAAATGTAATAAACAATCAGAAGCAGAGAGCAGAAATAGATAGTTCTTGTACTGGAGGAGTATAAATTCTGCAGTTTCTTAAGGATTTGGACCAGTGCCTTTCAACTTGTCCTTAAATGACTGGATGAACACTGAAGTGAAACAAAGGGTAGTTTGTACAGCTCAAAAAAGCTTTTTCCAAACAGAGAAAATGGGAATCAAAATGGCAAATTGTATTTTTATTATATTTTGTTTACACCTCACAATTTTTATTGCAAGAAACCCAAAGAAATTACATAATCCTTCTCTCCATTTTACGTAAGCAATGTAAGCAAGTGTCAAGTGATACATGTTCACATAAAAAGTCCCAAATTCACACATATGCTAATGGAGTATTTAGTGGAGTTACTTTGGGGTTGCAGTGGATGGTTTGATGAAACATCAACCCACTGTGTGGCTGCTGTGAAATTCCAGTTGGGAAACCTTTAAAAAGAACCGAAAATAAAAGTCCCTATATCATTATGCATTTATATATCTCCATGGTGCAGCCATACTTGGAATACCATGGAAAGGGAGAGACACCCTGTGGCCACTGATATTTAGGGACTATGCATTCCCATTTCAGTGAAGAATATAAAAGTCCAGCTTTGTCTCCTCCATTCCTGGTTAGACCCTCCTTTCTTGCTTTTCTGAGCAGGGTGCTTTGTCCATGTCCCTGTTGCAGACAGCTTTGAAATTTCTGTTTATTGTCTTCTTTTGTTTCAAGTTCCATTAATGTGCCTATATCTACAAAAATTTGACATAAATGCAAAATTATATAAAAGCAAAGTTCCATAGATAAATTAATCTCTGCTGGAGTAGTAATATATTTGAATTCAGTAATATTCCAAGAAACACCAAAAATGTAACATGGTAAAATGGGTCTGTCCTAAAAACTATGATGAGTTTTCAAATGATTTTCTATGGCAGTTTTGCTAAACATTGGAAAGAAAAATAGCATAGAAATGGTACAAAGGATTATAAAAAAGTAATGGTGGATCAGATCAAAGTCCTATCTCATCCAACATTTTCCCTCCTTCTCCACATCATCTATAACTTCAAACTTACCTATTGTGTTTTCTTTTACTCACCTTTTTTCGAGGCTACCTGCTCCCAAACAATGTTCTAAGTTTTCTGCATTGGGGAATTACTCCAGCCCCTGATCAGCCCGTCCCCCCCATAAACCTTTTGCAGCTCTTCAATGTCTATTTTTAAGAAGCGGTAACCATAACTGTACACAGAATTCCAACTGTGCTTGCACCATAGATTTATATAAGGGCAGTATGATACTGACAGTTTTATTTTCAGTTCTTTTCATAATGATCCTCAATACAGAATTTTCTTTCTTTTTGCAGCATTTTATTAACTTATCCACTACCTCAAGATCTTCATAACTGTACTTGCATGCTTTTATTGTGAAACTGTCCTGCTTTGTTCCTGGAATATTGTAGGGTTCCAGATATGATGTTGTCCTCCACTTGTAACCCTATGTATTCTCACAGCTGCTTCTCCCTTCTCTCTGATCACACACACACAAACACACACACAAACCTAAGGATGGAAAGCCATGATGGTTGCATGATGCCCTTTGATATAGCTCCAAACCATCTGCTAAGGACTGTTTGACCTCATGTAACAATGCTGTGGCAATGTATATATTGTACACCTAACAGGTTACCAAATACATCAAGGAACTTCACAGGAGAATTCTTAGCTGCAAACCTAAATTAATTTGGGACTTAGTTCTGTTGAACTTACAACTGACTTTTTCACTTAGCATGTTCAAGTAGAAAAAGCTGGAGTTATGGCTTATCACAAATCTATACTTCATAGCTTATCTATTAAGAGAAGTGGGGGTTGAAACCTGTCCAAATATCCAGATTTTATCAGAAAGGATAGACATGTATTTTAATAACATACTTAAGGACATTCTTTCCATTCTTATCTTATATATTCTATGGCTAAGTCCAGATATGAAAAACAGCTTTGAACTGAACCCAGACTGTGAGACCACTTCATAAGTATTTACCAGGAGTAGGTGCCACTGAACTTACTAAGACTTCCTTCTGAATAGAAATCTATAGTACTGCACTAACAATCCAGATTAGGTAGGAAAAACAAAAGTTGGCAACACTACTTGATGGCTGCCTTGTTCTTACTGAAACCACTTCTTTACAGCCATGAGATTAACTGACATGTTTACTATTAGAGGTTGCAATCCTATTCTTGTTTAGGGAGAACGCTGGCAGATGTAGGACTATGCAGAAGTTTGTGCCTAAAACAGGAACGCAGCACTATTTCAGTAACGTACACAAGAACTGTCATCCACCGAAAGCCTCATCTTTGCAGATAAACTAATTTTTTGTTATCTGCCTTTCTGGGAGAATGAGTGTTCCCTAGATAAGGGATTTATCCGTCCATTGCACATTTACTGAATCCATTCCCAAAACAGCTGAGTTTGTATTGCAGGCGTTGAACTGCTGAATTCCTGGGCGAATCTCACACATGCTGGAAACCCGAATCTTCAGACCCAAATTAAATGCAGCAAATTGAAAAGCTGCACCCGTTGAATTTCTGCCAGTTGTGCAAGCGGTAAACAACATCCGAATCGGTGCCAGGATAAACACGCTTATAAGCTGTCCATACAGGTCTCAAACTACAAAGAATCGTGCTAGGGGAAAAAAGTGACCATCCACATAATCCCTTGTCGTGAAGAATTAGGAGTGAAAAGGACTCGAAATTAATCCCAGCTGATATCATTATATTTACTTTCAAGTGATGGGTCGGGCGAGACTTCGCGACTAACATCAACAAAAACTGGCAAGAGGACCACCCTACGAGAAGGTCGACGTCAGAGCCATATCTTAACTCCTGCGCTTCCTTCAGGCAGTTTTGCCCTTCAGAGGCGAACCGGGCCCCTTTCGTGGTGGGGTCGCCGCCACTTCCCTCTGGGCCTCTCTCTTCTTGCCGGGGGCGCTTTCGCGACAACCCCAACGCGAGGTGGGGGGCGAGACTCTCCGGAGGGACAGATAGCAGGCCCCGACGGACCCGGCCTCGGCACAGCCCAACCCGAGCTAAGCAGGGAGGAGCCTCCGAGCCGGAGCGGCGGGCCGACCGACCAGGCAGGCGTCAAGATGGCGGCGTCCGTAGAGCTGGACTCGCAGCCCCTCAACCTGGAGCTGCTGCCCACCGACCCGCTGCTGTTCATCCTCAGCTTCCTGGATTACAGGGATCTCATGAGGTGGGGGTGTCCTGGCGCGCGATGTGGGACGCCTCCGGGAAGTGGCGTGGCTCCGTGGCCGGCTGGATGGCTCTGCGCTGCTTTCCCTTCCCTTCCCTTGCCGGGGCTGCTTATTTATCCCCGAGCCGCACTTGGCAGCGCCAGCCACGGGGGGAAAGAAGGGTGGGCGTATCGCCTCGGGGACGGCGAGGCGGGCGTGGGCGGCGGGGCGTTTCAACCTCTGCCATCACAAATGAGGGGACAACAAGGGCTGCTTGTGCAGGAGGGATCTCGTATCTGGGGGAAGGCTCTTCAAGAGGGGTTCATGTTTTGCGTGGGGCTCTCAGGCGTTCATGGGGGAAATGGGGGTAAAAGGCGTTGCGTGGCTATGGCAGCTGAGGAAATGACCCTGTCTGCGAGAAAGCAGCCCCCCTTTTTTCCGCATTAGCATTTGTTGGGCTGGGCAGGACAAGGCCGGGCGGCACTGCACTGCACTGCACAAGGGACGCTTCTGCCATGACAGGCACGGGTCCCAAGAGCCTGAGAGAACCCGTCAAGCTGCTCCTGTATCGACGGACAGGTTTCTTTCATCGCGGCCTAGCTGCGTCAACAGGTGCTTGCCCCACGCAAGTCCTAGTGAGACCATACGGAGGGGCCTTTAAAATCATCTTACTGGAGGAGAGAGCGCGTCGAATTGGTCGGATTTTCCGTGGGGGGACAGTTCCCATCTTCTCCCAGGAGCGAGCGAGTGTGCGTGCAAAGCGGAATAGGGCCCCGCAAAAAGTAGCAGGGGGTCTGCGTTGTTCAGTGGGAGGGCTTTTTAAGCCTTGTCACCTTTTGCACACTCGACTGGCTCCTTCGGAATTGTTTTGCCACAAGCAGTAAAAAAATACATGGATCTATGTACCCTTTTCCTTCTGGAAAATCAACCGGGGAAAGGGTTTTCTGCAAATTTCGCGCGGGGGGGGGGTTAACTCCTCCCCTTGCCTACTCATAGCCTTTCTGAGGTTGTTTCTTATTTGAAAAAAAAAGAAAAAAAAATTACGGGCATCTCCTGGGTAATGTTTATTTTGAACATTCCCTGCAAGTGTTTAGATGGGGCCAGCAGTGGCAAGAGTGGTTTAAAGTAGGACCTATTTGTGGGCAAAGGATTAGTTGGGAGTTCACATGTGATCAAGATAATGCGCGAAAAGTTTTAGAAAGTTGCTGCTTTATGTTCATTGCAAATTCACTTCAAGATTGTACTTATGATTGTCTGTGTCAAAGCATTAATGAGAGATGGATATGGTGCAAAGAATAGATGCCCCCCTGTGTAAATTTCCTTAGATTATGCAGATATTATTCAAAATGTTATTTTCTCGCCTTTGAGTATCTCTTTATATCAGTAGAACCATTTCTGACTTTACATCAGCAGGGCTATTTATCTGCCACTTTATACTGCACAGCTTTGTATACTGTTACAACATATGGTTGTGATGGCTTTGCCCATTTACCCTTTACCAAATGGTTGTCTTCTGTTCAAATCTGATGGGTAGCAAGATGGATCCAGGAAGAATTCAGAAGCTGGTCCCTGTTTACAAGGAGACCCTTTGGGTATACAAGAAAATAATGGATTGTTGAGATGGGAAAAGTGTCTTCTCTGATAAGTAAAACAGCAAAATATCTTTGACTAAGCATGCACAGTTAGATGATTTTCTAAGGTAAACCATAGCATACATAGGTGTAAACTGATGGAACACAACTTTTGAAAATGGGCTATAATGGCTTGTAAAAGCAAAAACATGATAGGGTAGGGAGTAAACTGAATGGAATTTAAAACAAAGCAACTATTTATTTCAGCAAACTATGCAAGCCATATGTTAAGGTTAGTTTTTTACAAAATTTCCTAAAAATGATACAGACTTCTAAAGTGGAAAAGAAGAGAATATTATTTGAAAAATAGAGTTTGACAGTGCAGAAAGGGCACATATAGAGAAAGGAAGATTATGAAATAGACAAAAGTAATGTTTGAAAGGAAATCCGGACAGGTGTTCTGTAGAACAGCCTTCTCCAACCTTGTGCCATCCAGAAACGTTTGGACTGCAACACCTAGAATTTCCAGTTAAGGGCCCTGTTGGATGCGAATTCTGGGAGATGTGGTCCAAGTGCCTCTGAAGGCCACCAGGTAGGGGGATGGTGCTGTAGAAAATATACAGAAAAGTGAAAGAAAAAATAAGACTTTAAGATGTAAAGACAAGGAAAATGCTTTGAACAGTCTGAAGAGAAAATATAACTATAGAATAGAGAAAATGCTATATAAACTGCATTGATTATAGCTCTGCTATTAACAACAGCAATAAGAGAATTTTCTGTAAAAGTTCCTAAATCGTTAAAAGTTTACCATAAGAACAAAAAATGAAATATGGAGAAATAGAGAACATTAAAATTTAATTTCAGTTATATCCTTTATATATGTACTTGAAAGTAAGCCTACATGTTCAATGGTGGTTAATTCCAAACATATGTGAATAGGAATGCAGTGATGATGCACAGGCATAACCATACTCAGCCAATTCTATTACCATCGATACTATTTGCTTCAGACTTCAGTCTAAATGCACTTCAGCTAGCATGCTTACAGCACAAACAGGTTCATGTTAAACAGAAGCAGTTTCCAGTGTGTTCAGTGGGCCTTATGTACTAATAAGTGCATTTAATATTGCATCTTTTATTGTCAAGTTTTTTAATAGGATGCTTAGGTGTGATAACTCAACATTTGCACTAAAGCACAATTGGTTAGGCATGTAAAACTCCTGATAGAATTTAGCTGTGAATAGAAGTCAGTAGGCACATGACTAAGTAGCAAATAACATTTTGTGGAGAAGACTGCTATAAGGAAGAAGCTCCTGGAGCCCACAAAATGCATTTCTGATCATATCTACAGATAAATGGTTCAGAGAAGTGAGAGAAACACCAAAGAAACTGTTCAGAAGTTGAAGGTAATAAAGATGATGAATTAAATCTATCAGGGTTGAGATGCCAGCAATACATAATCTGGTAGAGAACCAATTACCCCTTACCCAAAATCTGTTCCAGAGGGTTAGGGAACCATCTATAGTAGGCTTTGGGTTTACAGGGAGGATTTAGGAGAGAGACAAAGTTCCAAAAATAGGTTCTGCTCATATAATATTTGATTTATCTCAATCAAGATAAAATATGGGTGTGTTCAAAATTAAATGTAGAAAGTATTATTAAATTAGAGCTTTGACAAAAAAATAGTTGAAAATCCAGATAATAGTAGGGGAAAGTAAAATTACTATAGCAGAAGATAAAAAACACCGGTAAGAACAGAAGCTGAAGTAATCCATTTAAATTAGGAAACAGTACAATTCTAAGCATGTTTATTCATAATAGTATTTTCAGCAAGCATAAAACATGGATGAAATGGAGAATGTGCACTTGAAAAAATATGTACCAAAGTAGATGTCAAGAAAAGTTGATTAAATACAATAATAGAAACTATATGGATGATAGAAACAGAACATTGGACACTCAGTGGAAGGTTATGGGCAGCCAGATTGGATGATACCCTAGCATGTTATTAAAATTAGAAGAAAACTAAAATGTGTTTATTAAACTTTAGGTGGCAGTTGTAACAAAAAAGCCCTTCTCATTATGAAAATCAAATAAATCTTGAACAAAAAGATCTTAAATATTTTTGCAGAACCAGAACTTGTCTCTAGAAGCTGCAGTACCCAAAAAAGTATAATGGACCATTGTGGGAAACACCCTCCTTGCTTGCTGTAACTTATGCAAAAAACGAAACAAAAAACCCACCCTTTACTATTCCCACAATATCATAGAAGATGTTGCAATAGTTCATGACAGGTAGGAGTGCAGCAAAATGGAAACAAAATGAAATCTTACCAAAGATAATGTGTATTTCAATCGGCCTGCAACCATTTTCAAGAAAGGTCAGATAATGGGACTATATCTCAAGACAGCTGGGTACTGAATTATGTATCCTTACCTGATAATTTATTGATGTATACAATATTGCATTCTTATGAATGGTAAAAGAGGAGGGGAGGTATGCTGAGCTTGTCTTGTCTGTTGCACCATTGGTGGTCTTAGCCAGAGCTCCTCTAAACTTTCACTTGTGGTTTTAGCATTGTTCCTAATGCTAATTGTCCCTGGACATGGATGCAGTCTGATACTGTGGAGGGTAATAATGTCCAGACATAATGAAAAATATAATCTGTTGCTAGTTATGTCTATGCAAATTGCCATTCATTACTTCTGAGTGTTAATGGAAACTACACAAACTAATGTGATAAATGATTTGGAATAAACTAATGGGTGAATGTAGGAGTCTCCCCACAAAAAAATGTTCAAAACAATAAGGATTTTTATCTCTGCATTTGTAGGCTTATAAACAAGAAGAATGAACAAGAATGTAAATATGCTATGCAATAATTCCAATATTACAAATAAGAAGCAATACCAAACACATCTCAACCAAATAGGTTTCCTTCAGTGGTTTAGTATTTAAAATACACAGTGTTCCATACACACACACCATGTACAATAATCCAATGCTTTCACTCACAATTAGTTATTAGATAAAAGTAGGGTATGTGTTTGTTTAGATGAATTAGTAGTCAGGATCTTTGTAAAACAATTTATTGGAACAACTTTCTAAAACAAAATTATTTAGCTTTATTGTTCATGGTTCTAATGTAATAAGTAATATACTGTTTTATTCTGATTGATACACAAATTAAATTGACATTGTATTTACAGCTGCTGTTACGTAAGTCGTAGATTAAATCAGCTTTCAAGTCATGATCCACTGTGGCGGAGGCACTGTAAGAAATACTGGCTTTTATCTGAGTAAGTATAGATGACTAAAGTATAGACGTTTGATTGACTAAAGTGGTTCCAACTCTTAGGATGGTCATGTGTTTTATTTTGCAGAGGACAGTTCTCGATTTGAAGGACTGTCCTGCCGAAGTCTAGTTTATCAATTGCCATAAGAAACAAGAGCAGGCAGTTTCAAAATGCCCGTATCAGTTGGCACATAGCAAGCAGAGACTGATTACCTGGTCACAATCTTCATCACTATGTTGGAATGTATTGTAATTCTTTTAAAAATTATAATAGTTATAATTTTTCATCTGCATAATGCTAATTTAATGGACACTGATGTCCTGTTTTGTCCCCTTGTTGGTCAAACATTTCCTTCCTAGCCTGGGTAACCTGTGTGCCTGGTAAATGTACATTTCTTGGATTATTTTTTTTAAAGCTTGAAACCACTCAAAGCTCACCCAGACATCAGCTCAACACAGTACCATTTGTTTTTCCCGATAAGATACTAGCATTACTGATAAGATAAAGACTTTAATTAGTACAGCACAGTTTTACTTAGGGTGTTTCCAGATGGAGGCCCTTCTGTTCTGATTTTATATTTTTTTCTTCTAGATGGGCATTTGTACCCATTTAGAGAGAGCACACTGCTAGGAACTCAGCTGATTTGCGAAAGGTCATAGGATTTCTTGTATTCTTGCTTCTCACTTCCCCTCCCCATCCACTGCAACATCCCCTTTTCCTTCCCTCCAGGTCATTTTCATGATCTCGGGAAGGAGCTGGCATGGTCCTTTCTCCTGGGGCTGCCAGAGGGCAGATGATTGGAACTCCGGGTCCTCCTGCTGATATCATAGCAGTGTATGTGGACTCATGAGGTGAATCTGACCATTCTGTGGTTTCTGGAACTCTTTTCCAGGGACATAGGATTTTTCTTTAAGAGCAATCCAATTCAGTAGGTCTTTTGAATGGGGACCTGACATCTCATATACATTCAGTAAGCTGAATGATGTAACAAACTAATTTAGGTTGAATCCTCAATGTTTGCAAGTTTTTGGAATCTTAGCAAATTTGAAACATCAAATTTTGGCCTTTTCTATGCTCTAAACACTCAGCTAGAAAATAGCTTGATTAGAAACATAGTTTATAATGATCCTTTTGTTGTTGTTGTTGTTCTCGATGTTCCGCCCATTTGAGCTTTGAAAGGCTAATTTAGTACTCTGGGTAGTCTAACCACATGACAAGCCCTGATCAACTTAATCCAACAGAATGTCTCAACAGCAACCGCATTTCTATGCTGCCCATTAACAGTAAGTTAGCAGGGTCTCCAAGCAGCCCATAATATAAGCCAGTATGCAATGCTAGGCTAACCTTAAGCTTAGTCACATAGCTTTTTGGTCTGTAGCTGCCATAATAATTGCCAGCTCATACTAACTTTCAGATTTGTTTCTTTGGGTTGAGCCAGATGTTTTGCCTTTGTCCTTGTCATGCTGAATTCTGCCTGGAACTGCGCCTTATTGCAGTAACCCAAAATGTTGCCACAGGCGTAAGGTTGCATGCCAAACTTTTGGCATGTGACAGGTATACCACACTTGCACCCAATGCAAAAAATGAGATGCTGTAGCTTGGATGGGAAATTCAGAATAATTGTGGCTTAGTTTGACACACAATCATTTTACAGGCACGTATAATCATTTTATAGGAAAATTCACACATCCTACTTTTTTCTGGCTAAGCCCACATTTCTGCTGACTAAGCATTCTTCATTCATATCTGTGTCAGATTTCATTGTCATACATAATTAGCAAACCATCAGGTAACTTTCTCTCTTGTAAAACCATGTCCTTCTGTTGTTTCTTAATAATTGTGCTAATGATGTTTACACTTTTTTGTACAAATTATTGAATGGGAATTGTATTTATAAGGGAATAGCACAGCTAATATTAAATACTAAAGTCTGTTTGATTTATTGTAACCTTCAACTTGCATTAAAAAAACAACACATGTATTTAGGATAAGTTTCTTTTATTTGTACCTCAAGCTGATGTCTTGTACAATTTGAGATATAAAGTCTCCCATAATCTGTGCATTTTTTCATAATGATGAAGTGTGCTTAATAGTGAAGCACCTATCAGCTATTATCATCAGGCAGACATCAGGAGTTTAGAGTTTCTAGTAGTTTTCTTCTGTCTGTGGACTGTTTTATTCTGTCTCCTACCAAATGAAAGATAAATATTTAGATACCTTCTTTTTTATTTTGAATTTTTTAATCTTAACATAAACAGGTATACAAAAAAGAAAATGAGACAGAACAAACAAAAATGAATAAAGCAAGCTAAAATGAACAAAGTTGCCACAGGAATTTTTAAAAAATACAATCTATACATTTAGATATCTCCTTGAGCACATCTGAATCCTTCCCAGAGACTGAGAGAGCTTAGAATTCTTTTTATCCTTGGCCGCTCCCTCTGCACCGGAATGTCCCAGTAACAGTTTCCTTCCTCTGAGGAAGCCATTGTAGAAATTACTGCTGTGTCAGGGAAGATGCAGGGGAAAGACGGAGGAGCCAGCCACAAGGACAAAAAAGGAAGAGCCAGCCATACAGAACACCCTGCATGGTTGTAGATTGGGTTATAAATTCAGAGGTGGTGGGGGGAGGTTCCTTTGAACAATTCTGTAGCTCATGGGATACTGTCTCCAGATTACAAGAGTGCTCCCTAATAGTGCAGTCCTACACACATCTACCCAGAAATATAATTGTGTTCAGTGGTGCTCACTCCTAAGTAAAAACATACCAAGTTGCAGCCTAAGTGGTGGTGGAAGTATAGATGTTGCTTAAATACAGTTGGATCTACCTTTATTTTAGGAAACTATGAAGTAGAATTTCCACTCAAAAGTGCAAATCAATGAATTTGGGGAAAATTTAGACAAAGAACTGTATATATACATACCATATACTTGTTTACTACTTTAAAATGATATGTGTGTATCTTTCTAGTGCTGAGAAATCTCAGAGAAATAAGAACTGGAAGGCGATCTTTATAGATATGTATGCTGACTTAGGAAGGTATATTCATTATTATCCAACACTAAAAAAAGCCTGGGATGATTTGGAAAACTATTTGTTGCAACGCTGTCCTCGGATGATTAGTTCATTAAAAGGTATTGTTTATCTGTTTGCCAGTTTGAACCACTATTTCTATATTTCTTAATATATTTTAAGTTACCTGTGCCATTTTATATATAAGAGCTCAAAAGAGATTACTCTAAATTAGTTGAATATTGCAGCAACAAAAATTACTCAATGTAATTAATATTGCATGTTTTATTCTTTCATTTCTGTGTTTCTTTTTATTTGCTGACTGCATTTCTGTCCTTTTTAGCCTTTTTGATTTGGCAGAACTATCTAAAAAGAAAAACCGTTAAACTTTTGGACTTTGATTGCATTTTATTTTATTTGTATTTTTTTAAATCTTTATGTAAAATCTATGTATGATTCTTCATTAGCAAATCACAGGACTGTGTACAGGATTTATTCATTTTATAGCAAAATGCTGTGCATCTTGAGAGTATGGACAGACACTTCCTGCAGTCTCCTTAGAATGCTTGTCAGTATTCACACAGCAACCAGCATATATGGTGCCTGGATTTGTTTTTCCATTAAACCTTTCCCATTAACCCTATCATTTATTCAGAAATTGAGGGAAAGCTACACATGATAGGGTAATACCAAAAGTGCTAATAATATTGTAGTAGCCTAAGCAGATCACTGGCACAACATTAAGCACTTGCTAGGCAAAGCTATGGTTTTCCCAGTTGCAATGTATGGCTGTGAAAGCTGGACCATAAGGAAAGCTAAGCGTCAAAGGATTGAGGCCTTTGAATTGTGGTGCTGGAGGAGACTCCTGCGAGTCCCTTGGACTGCAAGGAGATCCAACCGGTCAGTCCTAGAGGAGATCAACCCTGACTGCTCTTTAGAAGGCCAGATCCTGAAGATGAAACTCAAATACTTTGGCCACCTAATGAGAAGAAAGGACTCCCTGGAGAAGAGTCTAATGCTGGGAACAATAGATGGCAAAAGAAGAAGGGGACAGCAGAGGATGAGGTGGCTAGATGGAGTCACTGAGGCAGTCGGTGTGAGCTTAGGTGGACATCGGGGGATGGTGGAGGACAGGAAGGCCTGGAGGAATGTTGTCCGTAGGGTCGCAATGGGTCGGACACGACTTCGCGACTAACAACAACAACAACAAGGCAAAGCAGTGATTTACTGCTAAATGTTGTGCTAGTGTTGCTTTGCACTAGTGAAGTGTCATTAGCATTGCTACTGTGACAGCACTGGAAACGAATGTTTGTAAATGGCTGCATTTCAGTGTGACCTATATTGTCGTCCTCTGTTTTTCTTTCAGTAAGGATTTATGGCTTTATTTCCAGCTTTAGTATTTGTGCTAGTTACTTCATTGTGGGTAGATACCACTCCACTCTGCATTCCATGTTTTTAAATGTTTATTTCTGATTTTTCACAAAAACAAAAGTACTTCAATTGTAGGGTCAAATTTTAGAAAGGATGTGCAGGGCAACTAGGGATGGCTAATTGAAATGACCCACCTTTAGAACCCATGAACTGTTCCAAGTCTAGACAACACAACCCACTGTGAGTGAGTCTCAACAGCCAACAAATCTCTTGACAAGAGAAGCCAAAACCACTCTTGACAAGCAGCTGTCACATGAGCACTGCTGGCAGCTGCCTCCATAGTATTCAAGTTGTACTTGAGGGCTGCCATTAGAAGCTTCCACTCCCCCGCAGCATGATGCAGTCAGCTTTAGAATAAACTGTCCAAGCTGCCAGCAAAGGTACTGGGATCTGATCCTCCTTGCCTAGAGGTTGTGTGCCCGCTTGGTGAGAAGGAGCGGACACCCCTGCCTGCAGGTCAAGAGTGGACCGCTTAAGCTGCATGTGGGAGTCTGCTCCACCACATTGCTTTGTGCTTGGGGCTCTGACACAGAGCAGGTGGGGCATTGCTGCCCATTTCACAAGAGATTTCCCCTTGATTATCAGGCAGGAAGTGGGAATCTGTGGCTCTGCCCCAAGAATGGAGCAGTCCCACAGAGAAGATCTGACACCCTCATCTCCTTGCATCTGCTGCCCAAAGAAGTCTACCTATTGGCTATCTGTTCCTTAGCACTGCCCCGGGATCCAGAAGGTTCCTTGGCAGCAAGAAGTGGGGGTGCCCAATCAGCTGCCCTATCTTTCCCATTGCACTTCTGAGTATAAGTCTTATATGCTCCATGAAAACAAAGAAATAAAATTTTTAGCATTTTCTTCTTTTTCCAATTGTGCAAAGAGGGTTCATGCCCTGAAGCAAAGTGGGGTCCTCTTCCTGCTTCAGCTGATGCAACATGTAACTGCAAGGGGGAAAGAGATGACCCCCTGCATGTTGACCTAGCTGAGGCTAGAAGTGGATCAGGGCAGGAACCCTGTTTGTGCTACAGCACTCTCTTGAAGCCAGGGCATGCAAAAATTGGCTCACAATCACAACTGTTAGAGAGAGGAGACTCATTCCTCCCGGTAGTGTCCCCTGGGATACCACCTGGAGGAACAAGGAGGGTGGAGCAAAGTACCCACAATCTGTCCAGCTTGTTGTGGACACATCACAAAACTGCTAGTTCATCCACCCTGGTTTATTATCAGGGTGGGCTGTCATGTTGTGTAAACTCTGTTTTTTTTTCTCCCCTCCCCTCCCCCACCACAGTTCAGATTTTTAAAGAGTATAACAGTTAATTATAAAGTAGTTATTTAAAACAGCATGTGCATGCCAGTGCAGCAAGGAAGTGCTGAGTTAATGTTGTTAAAACATTGGGTCCAGTCCTCCTTCAGTCCTACCCGCTCAGTCCTACCCCCTTTTCCTCAGAGGTAGCTTTTCAAATACCACCATCCCCCCACTCAGAGGAATAGATAATATATTTCCTTTTTCCTAGATTCTGTTTTGTGGGTAAAAAAACTCCAAACATACACATTTAACTCTCATTTCCTTGCTAGAAAAGAAGTATTTTTATAACAAAACAAATCTATATAATCATAAGAGGTATCTTACCTTCATTTTCCAATATACAGTTGAGGTTTTTGTTTCTCTTTACCTTTTCAGACAGGCAGACAAAGGATTTATGTTAACTGCCTTGTGGATCTAGCACTTCAGAAAAACTGTCTGCTAAACTGGGGAGAATTATCACTGTTGGAGATACATAACACTTTAGGTTTTGTTACATTAAGGCTGCAACCCGATAATATGCTTCTGAATAGGCATTTATAGGTTTGTGTTGTAAAAATATTCAATTTGTATCTCATGAGTTTTTGAAAATGTTTTCTTCTAGGTGATGCTGATGGTTTACTTTTGGGGGCAGGGAGAAAGGATGGATATTTTTGTTTAAATTAGTGCCAGATAGGACCTGACAACATTATTTCAGTGGATCTAGCCCACAAATGATTAAGGTAGCCTTCCATGTTTAAAGATTTTGCTGTTGCTCATAGTAAATCAGGTTGTTATTTCTCTAGTTTGGTTTAAAAAGAAGGCTACTTACTCAGGGATGCATAAATCTTAAGGGGTATGTTTGAGAAGTAAAGGTTTATTTGCCCATTCAAATGTTATGTTTTTTGTGCACTGTTTCTTATCTAAGCATTAATATCCACTTCAGAACAAGTAAAGTGTGAAGAAACCCTGAAAAGGATATGATTGTAAACTCAGTTTTCAAACCTGATGTCTGAAATGGGGCTTACTCAAGAGTTTAGATTAGAATTGGGTCTTAAATAATTCAACGTATCATTGTTTACATGATTTGAAGATATATGCTAAAACATGTAGTTTTTGAATGCTTACAGAAAGTGTTCGAGAGGAAGATCTGGATGCTGTGGAAGCACAAATCGGTTGCAAACTCCCTGATGACTATCGATGTTCATTTCGGATCCATAATGGCCAGAAGCTAGTAGTTCCAGGGTAAGAAGTTAAATTAAATGTAATTACGGTTGAGTAGTCAACTGCTTACGTATGGGTTGAAATATTTGAAATTTATCTGTTATTGACCATGTAACTTTTCTTACACATTTTAAATTAAGAAATCTTTCTTTTCTTTCTTTCTTTCTTTTTTGTTTTGCTTTGTTGGTACAAAGGTTGATGGGAAGTATGGCACTTTCCAATCACTATCGCTCTGAGGATTTGTTGGACATTGACACGGCAGCTGATGGTTTTCAGCAGCGGCTAGGACTGAAACAATGCCTCCCCCTAACCTTTTGCATTCACACTGGAGTGAGTCAGTACATGGCTCTGGAGAGCGTGGAGGGTCGCAATAACTATGAGATCTTCTACCAATGTCCAGTAAGAAAGACTTGTAAATAGATCCTTTAGACAACATTAATGCTGCTCACCTGCTTCAGTAGATGAAATTGATGCAGTATATGGTAGGCACAACTGGATTTTGTGTGTAGAATCTTTAAAGTCAGCTGTCTTTCATCCGTGAGTCCTTTTCCATCAATGGCAAAAGGTCACAGGAATGTTCAGGTGTTCTAAATGACAAAGGAGAAGGGGTAAGCATGCAGTAGTAGCAGCTATAACTGCTCTGAAAGAAGTGGAAAGCTAATTGATTAAACTATGGGAAGAAATTCTCATACAGCAGGATCTATAGTCAAGAGATATCACTGGTAGAAAGGTGGGGGTGCTAGTGCAGTCTGCAAATGGAAAGTAGGGAAGCAAGATCTTACATGTTGGTTAGAAACAGGCTGCCAAAAAATTTACTTTTGGGTCTCTGATACTTAATGATATAATTTTGGATTTTCCCTGACTGATCATTAAACATTTCCAAGAATGTAAGTCGTAAAGTTATATACCCAATTATTTCTTTGGTTGCTGTCATGGTAATCAGTCTTTGGGCTGTAGAACTTCTGCTGACTACCCTCATATAGAAACGTCTGTCCATTCCCTTGCTTACACAGTGCCTATGTTTGCACATCATTCTAAGCCACCCTGCATACAAGCATGGTGGGTTGTTTGTTTTCTGAATAAGCCATAGTTATAACCCAGTTGCATAACTGTGCTTGCAATTATTTGCAATAATTATCATTATTATCAATCTTTCCTTACTGTCTGATCTATGTAGTCTTTCCTGGTTAATTCCTTGTCTGTTTCAGTTCTCAAAGATCCTAAAAAATTGTGCACCTGTGTTTGTAATTTTACATTGTTGCTGTTGTTAGTCTCTCAATTCCATTGTCTTTTTCATTTGTCAAAGGGAACACTGAAGTGCAGTTAAAAGAAATTAACAAGGTGAGGATGCATATAAATGAATTTGTACTCAACTGAAGTGCAGTTAAAAGAGATTAACAAGGTGAGGATGCATATAAATTAATTTGTACTCAATTGCCAAGGAGCAATTGCTAAGTTGTCAATTGAAAGACACTGGTGGGGTGGGGGAGTGGTAAAATAGGTGCATCAGAAGGGGAGGCAATATGTAACCCTAAGGAATGTAACTCTCTCAAATTTAACTGGGAACTGACAGCTCCCAGTACCTTCTATCTTTTCAACAGTTACCTGAGTCTCCAGCTTCTTCAGAAAGGTAGACGGCACTGAGAAGCTTCAGTTCAGCAGTTAAAATTGAGAGGGCTCCATTGCTAAGGAGGAGGTATTATCATCATTCCCATGCTCTTTTGATGCATCTTCTTTTGCAGCTCCTGGCTCCTTTATTGAAGCTTTTCAATTGACAGCATTGCAGTTGGCCCCTGACAACTGTGCACCATTTAGCCTATATGCAGTCTTGCCTTGTCAGTTTCCTTCCTTGTAACTAATTCTTCTTTGTCATTCTCTTTTACCACTCAATAGACAAGGAAAGTGAACAGGGAAGATATTCATAAGAACATGCACATGAGATCATTGCATAAATCAATAACACAATTGCACAATTTTCTGGGAGCTCTGCATGGCTTATTTGTAGAGTACTTATTACTGTACATCTAGTGGTTTCCTGACAGAAATATACACAAGTTAATATGCATGGAAGTACATGGAAAAGAAACTTATGCAGCTACAGTAAAAGAGCAGTTATTGCGGGTATGCAGATTGCTAGATCTTCAATTGGCACACAATTTTTGTGTACATCCAAGCCACTACATGTGTATATATTTCCATGTCCAAAATTTTGTACAAATATTTCCAACTTTAAAAAACCTTTGCATGTGGTATAATGAAATAGAAAACATGGGGTGCCATTACCTGCATCTACCCTCCATGGATCCCCATTCCCTCTGTCCCATTTGGCCACCTTCTCTGGGTTGTTTCTTTTAGGACTATCAGTGAATCACAAGTAAGCACAACATGTTGAAAAGGAGTAATCAAAAGGGAATGAAGCCAATACCTCTCATGTTGGGAGTAGCTGGAGATGTGGGGCTGTGGTGAAAAGGTGGAGAGCACTGAGAAGTGTCAGCTGTACGCATAAAATTGAAGGGTTACTTCACTAGGGAATTATATCCCACTGCTCCCACCACCACCCTTTAATACACTCACTTTGGGTGCTTTTTCACCTTTACCTGTGCTTTTCAGTTGATAGCTCGACAATTGATCCCTGGCAACTGTTCAAAAACTGAGCTATATGCAATCTATTCTGTCAGTTCACTACCTACTCTGCTTTGCCGCTCCCTGTGACAGCTGAAACAAACAAGGAAATTTACTGTGCAAGACTGAACATACTTGACAAAAGACCTACAAAAATGATAATTAAAAAATTACAAACACATTTGTGCAATTTTCTGAGCTAAAAAAAAAAAGAAATTAAAAAAGGGTGATGAAGCAGTGACAGTAGCTCTGAAGTGCCTCTTGAGTCTCAGTACAGAGGCTGCCACTGGTGATGGCAAGATTGCAAAGAACAGCAGGGGGGTTGCAGTTTTTGCCAAGCCATTCACTAGTCGATCCCTGCAGCCCAAGATGAAATTGAAATCCTGGGTTTGGACAGCATGACAACCTACTGTGAATCAAATAAGCCATCTGTTTCAGGGCTTATTGCCAAAAAAGAAGCCACCATGTGTCTTCAGGAAGCAGTCGAAATTCAGACACCACAACAACCTACTGTGACTAGCTCCCCACAGTAGGTTGTCATGATGCAGAAACCCAACATTCAGCAGTGTTATTCAGAGTGAGTTTGGAAATACCATAGCATTTTTTTAATTGGCAATAATATACAACTCTGCCTTGGCTGTTAGATCGCAAGGTTGTTTTTACATTCCTTCAGGTTGTTCTTACAGTCCTGTGAAACAACAATCTTAGATGATGAATGTGTTAGTACATCTTGTTAATTTAAATACTTGAGTCTGCGGTCAAGTTATATGTCCAGTAGAAAACTTCTAAATTATGCATTCATTTAGCCTTGCAGATATATCTATGCTACTAGCCTGTTTTCCCTTGTGTCCTGATATTTAGATCCCTTGAGGTATTGTTGCGGGGGATCTCTTCCAGTTTGCAAAACAATTTCTGTTAGCCTGGAAACCACGCTTCCATTTCCCAAACATATTTTGGTTCAACCTCTTCCATCTGTGAAATATCAAGGCCTTAGTTCTCCTCCATTTGGGAATTAACTAATTAAATCCTTAAAATGAGTCTAAAGCTGGCTGTAACAATACAGTTCAGAGGTAAATCTTCAATTAAGTTTTCAGAGTACTGTGTGGTTATTGTTAATTGTTATTTTCTTGACATCATCAATTTAACAAAATGAAATGTGGGGTGCTTCCAGGAAAGGGTTTTATTTCTGTCTATTTTACAGAGTTTTACAGAGTTCAGACATCATTGTCTTCCAGTCATAATCTTTCTTTTTCTACCACATCTTTCATATTTTTTCTGTTCTTTACTTTCAACCTTGCACATTGCCATGTGACGGTTAGTTCTAGACTCCCTGTCTGGAAGCACCTTACATTTTCAAATTTGTGTTTATCTACCAAATATTTACATACCTGAGCTGGGAATGCACATTGACTTATGTAAATGACCCCTGTAATTCTGCTGTTTTGTTTCTAATGAGGAAAAACATTATTAAAATTATCCTGGAAAATCTCAATAGATATTTTTAGTGCAAATGATACCTTGTGAAAATCAAACTTTTTAGAATTCAAGTAACTTTATCTTTTTTGTTTAAAGGATCAAATGGCCCGTAATCCTTCTGCAATTGATATGTTCATTACAGGTAAAAATATTTTGGAACTTGAATGGGAAACATTTCAAAGAAGCCAAGTTGAATTGCAGTATTACTGTTAGAACTTGTCCACTGGTGCAAGTTCCTTAAAGATGTGGTATTTGTTTATAGTAGATTTCTCACCCACTAGAGGGCAAACTATACCTTAAATTGCAGCCAAATAGACAAGTGCTCTGAAGGCACCAGCTGCTTTGTAAGGTGGGGCTGTGGGTGGTTAAAAGCAGAGAAGAAAAGTGGAAGCACATGGTGCTTAACCATTACTATGCCAGCCCACTTCCCTTGAAGCCCCTAGTGGGTCCGTGGTACTGCTGAACTAGAAGCAGCTGTGGGGAAATTGGGACAAGATATGTTCCCTTCTCTGCTTCGAAATAGCACAGTCTGAAGGGGAGGAAAAGAAACAGTTAAGTCTTCATTGCAAGTGGTTGCATTGTTTCTTAAGTTATACTGCAACATAGAGAGTAAATACAGGTCTGTCACTTTTCCACTGTGAAGAGGTAGACACCTTGCAGGGAAAAGGTAGCAGGAGAAAGATGCTATCTTCCTCTCCCCTCCCCATGTACTTTGATGAAGGAAATTAGAATTAAATACATTTTAATTGAAAGTTCTGTTTCACAAATTAGAGGTACTAGAGAAATATATGAAATGCCACACTAACATGATCCTTGGAAGGGAGGATGTTTTTAACTGAGTCCTGCACGGAGCAGGAGGTTATACCCAATGCCCTTCTGGCCCCTTCCAGCTCTACTTTCTATGATTCTGTACTAGGGGCAGGGAATAGTCTTCCATCAGTCCACTGGGTCTGAGCATTTTCTATTTAGATTTCTGGCTTGAAAGAGTACCTCCACATAGAAAATTCATATTAAAAAGAAGTTTGCATATTAGGAATAAAAAGCAGTTCAAGGAATCACTTCATTTAATATGGCTGGTTTCTAAACACAAAGTTGCAGGTTAGGAGATTGGGGTGCTGGCAGGCAGATGGGAGAGATCAGAACTGGAGGGGCCAATAAAGGAAATTTTACTCATTTCTCCTATACCCTATGCCACTGATGAAGACTGACTCCCTTAAATCTTCTGTTTGCTTTGTGAGGAAGGCAGCTGTGTTTATTTTGCTTTTTTGAAAATTCACTAAATGCAGTTAGTATAACATATAGTTTGGCTCTCCTTGGTTTTGAGTGAGATAAAACTCAGTGGAAATAAAGGAAACATGTTGGGGCCCACAACTGGGGCTGGCAGGTAAGGAAAATCAATGGAGAAATTTGTTCCCTCACCATAGCTTTGTTGTTACATGCAAACCAAGCCACAGTATATAAGCAGCATGCTAATGCACACATGCCATTCCGTTGTGTGAGTGGGTAAAACTTTCCAGGAAATGATGGCTTATTATGACATCTGAACCAGTCAGTGTAGTTGTTCCCAATTAAGCCAGAGTTTGTAAGCAAATGATACACCAAAGGAAAAAGGAAAGCAGGAGCACACAAGTTATGTGTCCCAGCTCTGTGCTTCTTCACATTTGGCCAGGATACACTGGAAATATTTGCTTGTTGCTGTCTGTGAATATGACCTGTGTCTTCCAGAGTGTACAACAGGGTAGGAAACCCATAGCCCTCCAAATGTTACTGGTCTCCAACTCCCATCAGCTCCAACCATCTACATGGGATGATGTACTTTGTAATCCCACAAGCATCCAGAAGGCCACAGGCTCCCCAAGCCTCCCTTGTAGTATCCTGGAGAGGCTGGGAGAGATTACACTTTCATTCCACAACTCAGGATGTGACAAGCTGTTGGGCTCAAGGAGAGCAGTTTCCATACAAACCCACACTAGATTCTGTTACATGTTCATGATGCTCAGTTCTTGCAGTGTTCTGTAGCTCCTCGAGCATGTTCTGTCCTTTCCAAGCCACTGGGGATTTTTACTGAATTTGCAAACGAATATTTTTGCAGATTTTACAGATTACACAGAAGCCCCTGCTTTGTGCTGACCCCTTTTTACATGCCCACTGATAGCAAATGGTATGCTTATTGGATGTGATAATAATCTTTTTTTGCCTACTGTGCTAGATCCGACTTCTCAAATAGCATTTCAAATCAATGACTGACCTTTTATCTTTTCTTGTAACATCTTTCTCCCTCTTTGATATTTAGGTAGTTCCTATTTGGAATGGTTCACCACCTACGTAAACAATGTAGTAACAGGTGGCTTTCCCATCATCAGAGACCAGATTTTCAGGTATTATGCCGTAGTCTACAGTACCTGATCTATAATTTCTTATTAGGACTAAGGGAAATAATCTTAAATGTGTAAAGCAAATTTAAAGTGTAACAGGCATGGACATGAGAGTGAGTTAATAAAACAAAATTTATTTGCACTACATTCTGCAGAAACAAACCAGGAAAGTCTAAAAGGTATTTGCAATTGAAGAATTGTTTCTCCTGTTGAGAAGAGGAATGTATGCATTTAAACAGTAGTAGCTCTTTATTAAAAGAACCTTGATCCCAAAATTCTTTCTCCTGCTTCAGGAAATGAATAAAGCACCATCAGCTACAAGGGATAGATGTAGAAAACAAATTGTTAGCAAAAGAAAGCAGACTGTTAGAGCAAGCACCCCCCTCATGAAGAGGTTCCCAGTGCTTGAAACATGGTATTCTTTACAAAGTGAAGTGTACCTTCGGCACTTACCCGTTATGTCTTGGGGTATAGCTAAAGGAATGAGCCTCCAGGAAAATAATCTGGAAAACTATTTTTTTCTGAAAACTTGAATTTTTCCAACAGAAAACTGGAAAAATCTAGGAAAAAACTAAAATATTTTCTGGAATGAATAAAATGATTATTAAGACAAATGATTTTTAAGATTCTTCTTTATGATCTCGGTGCATCACACACATGGGCTCTGCGCCCATGCATGGAGCTCATTTTGGAAGATGCCAAAGCTGATTAATTAGTATTCAGCAGGAGTTCAACCCCTGGGCACACCCAGTATGCAGGTAGGTGCTCTCACCTCAATTCTTCTTCAGCCACCATTGGAGTGAACAACTTTCAGGGCTTGGAGAGAATTAGGAAAGGGGATGTATGTTGCCCATGCATGAGTTGTTTGTGGTCTGCTGCAGACCTAGATAATGTTGCCATATTTATGAGCAGAGCATGCAGGAACTCCAGTAGTTTATTGCTGCTTGCCTTTTTAATTTTTTTTACAAAATTTGAAGATTCATTTCCCATTCATCCTGCTTCTACAGTAAAAACTCAAATATATCTGCTCAAATTACATAGGATGTAGCTGTTTGCAGCTCTGTTCACAAATTTTGTACAAAACTTGAGTATGCAATCTTATGTATACTAGAAGTAGTTCTTATTTCTGGGGAAACATAACATAGGAGGTCTCACTAAACTATATAAATACAACCAATAGTGCACTTTCATATGCAGACTAAATGATTAATCAAGCATTTTATATGGCTAAAGCAATAAAATTTGAATTTCTTAAAGAAGTACTTATATTTAAAGTATTCTTAAAGTTCTTGTTTTTCCAAAGGAAAAAATGGAGAACTACAACTTCCCTTCTCGGTGTCAAAATTTTTGAAATGCTTACATGTCTAGGTGCTACAACCTTCAATTGTAACATTTTTTTTCAATTTGTCACTACAAATATTGAATAAAATTGCATCAAAGAAAGCAAGAATATCTATGGCCACTTTCCCTCTTCTTAAAAACCAGCTTGGATATACGGAATATATCCCCATACTGAATTCCCATACTTAAGTCCACAAGTGGAATGTGAGGCTCTCTCGTGCTTTGGAAATAGTCATCAGTGTGCTTGTATAAAAGCCTCTGGTGTTCCTAAAAGGGTTTTTTAATGCTTTCAGTGATTTTTGTGCTTAAATTATGAAATTTTAAATGATTTCATTGGACATGCTAGTAAAATTCCTCAAGCAACACGTATTATTAAAGTACTGTTGCAAATGCATAAGTAACCAAAACTGGGCTTATAAATACATTAAACATTGAGAAATTAGTTCAATATGCAAATCGCATTTTATTTATGTCTTTTTTCTGGTAAGGAACCTCAGGCAGTTTACAAAATCCTTCCCCTCTCCATCTTATCCTCAGTACATGTGAGGTAGGTTAGACTTGAGAATCCATGACTGGCCCAAGGTCACCTGTGAGCTTCATGGCCAAGTGGGGACCAGAACCAAGATCTCCTGAGTCCCACACTTAGCCATTATTGTACATAGCTAGCATAGATAGTCAGCGCTTAATAGTCATAATTTTCTTCCCCTTGAATCATATCCCAGCAGTTGTAATTCACACAATTTCCCCTAACAGTTCATTTGCATATGTCCAAAAATGAGAATCATTTACAACTTAATCAAAGGATATTAACATGGTGTGGTTATGGCAGTTACTGTCATATTCAGTCTGCTGAATACACAGGTAAATAAAAGGTAATACTGTGATCCTATACAAGACAGTGGCACATAATACAAACCAAACTGTGCTAGCAGTTTGGCTAGCTGGATGAGATCCATAGAAACAGAGATTGCTGATTGTTTCAGAATTTAAGTGACATTTGTATTGTGCTGTCTATTTGTTGGTTTATTAGAATAAACTACTGTGTTCCTAATTTGTAATTTGTAGTGCAGTCAGTATGAGGAAATACCTATTACAACACTTTATGGTTAGTATTCGTGTATTTGAGACATGCATAAGCTTTGATAACCAAGTATGGAGACTGATCTGAATACAACAATATATAGCAGAAAGGATAGATGTATTTTATAGCAGTGTTTATACAGATTTTAGTTTGAATTATGTAATATATTCATTGAAATGTAAAATACTGACTTTTAGTATGTTTTTCAATATTTATTGCTTAAAACTTTTTTTTATTTCTTTCTCATTTGCTAGATATGTTCATGATAAGGATTGTGTAGCAACGACAGGAGATATTACTGTCTCCGTCTCTACATCTTTTCTACCTGAATTAAGTTCTGTACATCCACCTCACTATTTCTTCACTTACAGAATCAGGTAGGAACAATAAACTAACATTTTTTAATATCATCAATATATGAGCATCAAGCTCTGAAAAGTTGCTTGATCACTTGTTGGAAACTATTTAAAATATAAGCTCACCTTCTCTTTCCTATGTAATAAGTGCACACCAGTTGCACAGGTTTCATGATCCTAACCCTTAGTGTAGTATTTCTTGCTTTGGGTAATTGACTTTTCATTGCAGTCAGATTGGCATATCTTGCTTGTTTCATAGCAGAAAGCATGACTTTTTTGCCAATGCTATTGAGTTTTTTGTCTTTTGTAGTATAATAATCACATACATTCATCAGTGCCTGCCATATCTGAAAGATATGGCAACTTCCTGGCTATCAACTTTTTAAAGCACACCTAAAAGTGTATTTAGATGCGTTCTAGAAGCTGAGCACTTCTTCACTGTACATTACAGGCATCAGGAATGTTGTGTATTATATACAAAAAGTGGTATACACGAAGTACCTGCGATTTCATTTTTCCATTTCTTTTATACGACGTGTTCCCTGTACTCTCCTTCTGTCACTGCAGTGCACATATAGGGTGGCTTTTGAAGTAGAAAACAAGAGTACTGGTATCTTTCACAAGTGTTAAAATTCTGGATAACATGTTTAGGGTACAAGGTTATGGAGGTAAGCCTAAGTCCCCAGACTTAGGCTTGTGCTTATCCTCCCTGTTATTTTAGCTACAGGTGTCTCAAATGGGGAGGAAAGGAGGCTGGAATGGCTTCAGGATACCTGGTAGGCTCCAGCATCCTTCCCCTACCCAAAACACCCCCTTAGCCCCTGTTCGAGGTTGCTTTACAGATCTCGGAAAACTGCTAGTACAGTATTTTCTCTGCTGGCTGTAAGGGGAGGGGGATTGGAGCATCAGTCTGTTGTGCTGAGGTCCTAGTGCTGTCTCTGCCTGTGAAGCTGAGAGTCTGAGCCATCCTCAGACAGTGTCTAAGGGCCATTGGATCATTCCCTTAGAACCCTAATGCTTGTGTTGATGCTTTTCTGTATATGTGGCATATCATTAAAATGAGTGCTTTGTGGGGGTTTTTATAGAATTGAGATGTCCAAAGATGCACTTCCAGAGAAGGCTTGTCAGTTAGACAGTCGGTACTGGAGAATAACCAATGCCAAAGGTGATGTAGAAGAGGTTCAGGGTCCTGGAGTAGTAGGTAAGGATTATTTTTAAAAGGTGTTGACCATTTGGGGGAATTATTTTGGATTAAGATGTTTAGATTGTATGAAATACTAAATTACTTGTTTAAAGTGTACTTCAACTGACTAAAGAAAAAAGTAGTTTTGGGGTGCTATTCTAGAACTTGCTGCCAATCTGAATGGGCCCCCCACATTGATTTCTGATGAAAATGCTCTTCTTTTACTATTTTCATCTTTAGGGGCAAATACCATCTGAGGGGGGCATTTTTTGGCAGGAAACTAGTCAGGATAGCATTAAAAATGTCCTGCTTAATGTAAATTGTAGTTTGGCTGTAACTGAAGCATATTTGGTTCTAAAAGCAGGTGTCCTTGGCTTGCTTTGTTTCTGCAGGAGAATTTCCAATAATCAGTCCTGGTCGAGTTTATGAATATACTAGCTGTACCACATTTGCCACTACTTCTGGATATATGGAAGGTTACTATACATTCCATTGTCTCTACTACAAAGACAAGTTTTTTAATGTCACCATTCCTAGATTTCATATGGTTTGCCCAACATTCAAGGTATCTACTGCACGCATGGTAAGTTGAAACACTTGTTTTTGGGCTGTAACTTTAATATTGGATTTACAGAAAATGATTTAATAATGATCGTATGCTTTGCGTACAAACTGCATCTTTTAAAAGGTGTGAGTAGTCTTGCATATTTCAAAATGTGTGCAATTGTGTCCCAAAGACAATCTCTGCTGCCTTTAAACTGTACTGACTGTAAAGCTGTGGTTGCTAGAGACATCTGCCACCTAGTGACTAAAGATGGTGTTACCCGCTTAAAATAGGTGGACACGTTTAAATGTTTTAAAATACAAATAATTCTAATGTGCTTGCCAAGTTACCCTTAGTATGCATGCCAAGTTTTAAGCATCTAAATTGCATATTCCTTGGACAATAGTGGGAATGGAAAGACACCTTTATTGTAGATGCAGGATAAATGGTAGGGGTGGGAAATAGCTATTTCAGATAATCTGTAAGACTATGGAATTTATTTTAAAAGTAGGGAATAGAATTGAAAAAGGGAAAGGGCCAAATATGAAGTCTAAATAAAAACAAATCTGTTAACCTTATATCGTGTCAGTATGTGTAACTGTAGTGCTTTGCATATGGTGAGTGGCTGTATTTAGCTATGTGGTAACATATTTTTGGATAGATGCAATGTTTGATGTTTTTAATGGCTGCAGTGCATTTGTGATCTGTTGACCTGCTTTTTCTGTTCAATGTATTCTAGATGAAAAAGTTGCTTGTTAGAGTCACGCTTGATGTGCCTTGTTATGAAAATTGGTTGACATGGTTTGGCACAAGTTATATGGGAACAGGCTTCATGTGGGGTTTAGAAACATTCTAGGGAAGTAATGAAGGCTCAGGGATTTTTTATCGGACCTATAATGTTTGAGTAGTCAACTCCTTAATAAACACATACATTTTAAAATGAACCTTCCACAAAGCCTTGGACTGCTCTTCTTTAAAAGTTATAAATAAAGCATCAACCTGAATACTTCAAACCCTGTCCTGTTAGCAAGTCACTGGGAGAACAATTCTGATTTCTCTCTGTTTCCTGTCTTTAAAATAGTAATTGCCTGTTTGTTTAACAGACATTGCCTGTTTAAAGAGTTGTTACTTAAAGACTGTAGAATATTTCACATAATGAGAGAAATCACTTTCAGTACATTCTTCAATAGTTTTGTATACTATTGTTTGTTCAGAATGTCTGTTAAAGAACCAGAGATACATCCCAGTAAAGTCTGGTTTACGATATACAAGAGTAATACTGCATGCTTTCAAATAAGGCTTTTAGCACACCACCACCCTATTCCATACACTGATTTTTACAGGAAGGCCAGGTGACTGATCAAGTTTGTGGATGTCAGATGATTCTGTCCTGGTGAAACCCAATTGTAAGAGTCCATAGGAGGGTTGTTTCTTCTTCCAGCACACCATGCCACCCTGATTCAGAAGACACAAGAAGCTGTGCTTGGGCAGCAGTTTCACACCTGGCACATCCTGGGATTTAACTGTATCACTGTGTTTGATCATGTGAACTTGCTCATTTCTTTTGCTTCTAACACCATTTTCTATCAGTGCTTTTGTCTTTTTCTTACTGCAGAAAATCCCTTAAAGATAGCTAGGCACAGTGCCTTGTAACTGGTAGCAATAGGAGCCCTCTCTAAGTACCCTTTATTTCAAATGGCTATAGTGTGAATTCAGTCAGGTCCAGACATGGTGTTGAATAACCATCTAGACCAATCAGCCAGCCAAATCCAGCTCTATAAATGTCACTCCAAGTAACATGAGATGGAGCTGGTAACATAAGCATAATCAAATTTAGTTGGGTTGTTTTACAATGAAACTTTGGCTAAAAGATGAGTTTAAAAGCTTCTGTTTTTACATTTAGGAAACCAACCATAATGAATGTGCAATGGATGAGGATGAAGATTCAACAGACACTGATGAATATGAAGATAGGCGCAGAATTCTAGACATTCCTGCTCCTTCTGGACGCTGCCCACGCCAGACCTGATCAAACTTTCAAAAAACTTTTCTGGGTTATGTGGGGCAATGACATATTAAATGAATATTAAACAGTAACTTGGCAGTGGAACAGCTAGCATGAATGCTGGTTCTGGCTTGAATCTGATCAGATAGACAGGGTTTTGTCTTGCATTTGTTTTTGGAGGGAAGTAAGAATACAATATTGTGGTGAGCTTTATTCTTTCTAACAGCTTAACAGTTGGGGGTGTGGTAAGTCACTGTATATTTTAAATTTAAAACCAGAATGGTGCTTTTGTTTCCTTTTTCTAAATAAAGCAGTATTAGTTGGCAACAAAATGACAAAAATAGGCATGCCATTTTCACAATGATTTTGTACTGTTATCCGTCTTTGCCATAAGTGAAGTATAATTCTGTCTAATCATTGGGATGAATTGGGTATTCTTTTACCAGAAAATGCTGAAATATTTGAAAGGAAGGTTACATTTTTAGTCCTGCATTCAGTCTCTGATCTTATATAGGCCTTTCTGGGTGTGAGATAAGCATCCTGCCTACTGCATTTTGCCATTTATAAACCCGAATATAAATATGTAAATAGCTTTATTTCCAAGTTCAATTTAGCTATTGTGATAAGTGATTAGTATTCTAAGTATAAATCATGTTTTTTTCAACACTATGTGCATTTCTCTAATTGTCTGACTAAAAATTGAGACATAACTTGAAACCAGTCATACTTGGAATATTGGCATTGATGGGGGTGTGTATATACAGCCAAGAGTATTGGGAATGTGGCATTATACAATAATTGTATGGTTTTTATATAGTGGAATAAGATATTGCTAAGAGAAGTAAATCCGTTAAGTTTAGGCTTTGAAGAAAATACAGAATATATTTTGCTTGCACTGCTAAGCAGCAGCAGCAGAAGTAAAATCTGAGGGTCTGTTCTGATGAAGACAAATAAAATTGAGGATTGGTTGACATTTGGGTAGGCATAGGCCAGCTTTTCTAGTAAACTAGAAAGTAAATCCTATGAACAATAGTGTGGCCCAGCTATTCCTTAGTGTGTTATGACTCCATTGAATGATTTGTTACTTAGTTCACAAAAGGAAGTGAACTAAGTCTATTGGATAACTGTTCTGATTAAAGGTATATTTATAGCAAGTTGTTAGTGTCAGTTGAAGTAATTAGTATTCGCAGTTTTAACAACCAACCTTAATATACTTTTTTTTAAAGTAGTGAGTTATGATAAATTAAACAAACAGTTCTTAATTTATTTACAGTGCAAACCTATACATATCTACTCCAAGTCTCTGACTTCAGTCAGTGGGAGCTCATGGCCACTAGGAATGGTAGTGCAGAGGGAAGAGAAGCAACATAATAATAAATTCAGATATATTTTAAATGGGGACCTTCCCTCTAATCCCAAGCAAAGATGCAGTATCATATGAAACAAGGCTGCTTAAATAAAATAGAACAAGTCAGGTAAATGCTTTTCTTCTTGCATCCATGTGATCTGCTGCCTCATCCTGTTCCTCCCCCTTGGCCAAGAGAGTAGAGACTGTAACATAGTAATGGGAGCAGGGCAGAACTGAACTGTGGCTGCTGGGAACCCTCACCAGTGTCTTTCTAACCCCAGCCCTTTGGGAAGATCAGGGTTGGAACCAATTGAAGCACAGAGCTTGCACCTTTGCATTTTGTAAAAAATCCCCTGTCCTAGAGGAGCAAACCATCTGCAAAGGAAGCCATTCTCTTTCCTGTACTTGGTTGGATGCAGGGGCATGGGCAGGTGTGTAGACACACTCTTGGCAAAATGAAGCTGATACTGCCAGACCAAGAATATATTCCTGGCCCACAGAGCAGCGGCTGGCTAGATAGAGGTTGGCACAGTGTGAGATGCCTTTTTCCCCAAGGGGATTACCAGAAGCATGGTCTTGAAGATTTCACTCTCAGATTCATGCCATCACTGAGTTCAATGGGACCAACTCACAGATAAATATGTATGTAGTTACAGCCTTAGTGTGCGTCTTTCTGTGTATACTAAAATATTTAGTATTTTAAAGCACAGCTGTGAGCATTTTGAACTGCAACTTGGTGCTCCCAATTGGTTCTGGCACTTCATAGCATGTTGATCTTTACTGCCTCTTCCAAATACTTTACTTAAAATGTATGCTTTGTATAACATGGAGTGCAACTCTATATTTGAAAACTTAGCTGTAAACATACTATACCATGTATAACAGTATATTCAAGAATTGCTACACATCATGTGCCGATTACACTGGGCAATCCAGAAACCAACAGATCTGTAGCAAAGCCAATTAGCAACATTGTCAAATAGCGACAAATTTCACTTGAAATCATACACATGAAGAACCCAGGCAGCATTCAGACACGTTCTCTGAAGTTTCTTCAGAAGACTCCATCAAACTGATAAAGGCAAACTGAAAGCAAGTAGGCTTCACATGCAATGCAGCTAGAACAGGTCTCAGGTTTCCTGTCCAAATAGAAAACAATGCTACTTCTGCACACACTGGAGACCTGAAGGTGAGTGAGGAGTAGGTGTATGCCAAAATTATCACAGCATCTAAGAGAATAGAGATAGTTTTTTAAAAAATAGAATAATTGCAATACTGATCTGCAATACTGCTTATAGGCTACAGAGAAGTATATATACCAAAAATACTAAAAAAGAAATTAAAAGCCAAGCATAGGAGTAGGACAGCTGGTAGCTGACCTCGTTGCAGCAGCGTCTTGGCCAGGCCTTCCTGTAGCCAGTGACTGTATCCTACACCACTCTGGCAACTTAAACTCATAGAAATCATACTATAAGTGTGATCATAAGGCTAGATTGAGAGACATCTTACATGCTCCAGTTCCTTCCATGTGGTTTCTGTATGCCAGAATGAGCAGTGGCCATGATGCTCTGTCATTATTTTCATTATTTATTTTTCAATTTATATCCTGCCTTTTTCCTACAAAGGACTCAAGGCAGCTTACATCATTCTCCTCCTCCATCTTATCCCCACAACAACCCTGTGAGGTAGGTTGGGCTGAGAGTCTGTGACTGGTCCAAAGTCACCCAGTTGGCTCCATGGCTGAGCGGGGACTCGAACCCAGATCGCCTGAGTCCCAGTCACATGCTCTTCACCACTACACATAATGGACATAAAACTCCAAATGCTCTGATCCTTTCATACCAAAGCATTACTCTGGGCAACATTGCTATAGCCACTTCTCAAAACAATATTTCCCACAAAGGAGCTCATCTCACTCCTAGCACTGTAACTTAGGAAAGGGTGGGAAAGCCAGCTAACTGACCAGAAAAAAAATCAGTTTGTCCTCAAGAAGCTTTTACTGTACTGTACCATAGGAACATAAAATGCCACTGGGTACTTTACTTTGGCCTTTAGGTGAGAAATTTGGGAGTGAATTTTTTTCATTACTATTTGCTTACATTACCAGAGTGAGTGAAATAGTAGACTTCCAGAAAGCAAGCACTGCCAATGAAAGGGTTCTTGTGTGTGTGTGTATGTGCATTTGTAGATAAAAGGATGCAGAACTTCAGGCCATTGGAGGCTTATGTCACCTCTGCAGGCCCTACTCCACCTAGGCCAGGGGTCGGCAACCCGCGGCTCCGGAGCCGCACATGGCTCTTGAACCCCTCTGCTGCGGCTCCGTCACTCAAAACACAGCACAGGACAGCCGCTGATCTGCTTGAAGCTCCACTCAGGAACACAGCGCTAGCTAGTTAAGTAAATCGCTACATTCCTCTGCTAAACAAGCTTCCTGCAGGCTCTCCTGTTACACAAAACACTGCGGGGGGGGGGGGTCTCTTTGTCCCAATGTAATCTCCTTCATCTGAATGTTAAAAGCTGCACTTGGGACCTGTCACAATTCACAGCACTTGACTGATTATCTGCTTATCAGTCACTAAACACACCTGTATCTCTGGCATAGCCGCTGATCTGAGCTCCCCGCCCCCCCATAGGCCAACCATGGATAAATTGAAGAAAAGTTTCTGAAGAAAACCAAACGTGGGTAGATTCATTTGCTTTTACTGCTAACGAACTTAATGGGGTTTGCTGTTTAATGCATGCAGCCAATAGCACTGACTTTGACTCTTCAGGAAGCTGTTCTCCTATTCAAAATATATGAAAGGAGTCCTACTAGTTTATAATGTAAGATTAAAAATAGCAGTTTTTAGTGACTGAACAAGAGCTGCAGCTAAATCATAATGGATATACATAGCATAAAGGTAAAAAAACGATATATGCAGTGTTATCTTCATTTTAGATGTCAAAAGGGTTTTGCGGCTCCCGGTGTTTTCTTTTGTGTGGGAAACGATCCAAATGGCTCTTTCAGTGTTAAAGATTGCCGACCCCTGGCCTAGGCTTTGTGAAAAATGAGTCAATTGACTGAAGATAATGGCGGGGATTTCCCCACACTGCTGCTTTGTCACACATACAGCTTCACTGACCGGGAAAACACACAGAACAAAACAGAGACAGAATTGTTCAAGTATCCTCCACTTTTCCAGCAGAAAAGTGAAGGAGACATGGCTGGCTCAGCTTCACTTGGGGTTTTCCAAACATCCTGCTGGAAAATTCATTCTTCCCACATACACACTTCAGACAGGAAGCAAATGATCACCCCTAGGAAGGGCCAAGCCCATTCGGCATCCTATCTGGGCAGGGTTGAGGGTTGGAGTCATCTGTCTCCTGGTCCCTTTTGGTTCTGTAGCTCTGCTCCACAGCAATCAGTATGCACAGTTCCCTGGACTGCACAGCTTACTATCTAAAGTTCAATATGGGGAAACAAGAAAGGGTAGGCAAGACACAACTGGCTAAGAAGAATTTACCATTATTTCAGTTATGTGTGCTCAGGATTTGTTTCAAGTTCCAGTAGGACATATTGAATGTTCCAAAGGCTCCAGGAAAAAGCCAGATTTTAAAGAATGATTTCAGGATGACATCATGAATATGTTTGGAGAGGCAGGTCTATTGAAACCACAAACAATTGCATCATAGTAAAATGTTTTTAAGAAAACACAAAAGTAACAAAACTGGGAGCCAAAATTCTATAAAATTCAGGCTAAATGTTAAAATGGGGATGGACGAGGCATGAAGCTGTGCATGATGATAACGCTTTTTGTTATGATAAAACTAGTGATTCAGAATATGTCACTAGGAGCTTTTCTTCAAGAGGAATTAATCACATACACATGATTCTTCACTCACTGGCCTTTGGGAGTTTTACATGATTCCTCATCTATTTCTTAAGGTAATAGTATAAGCTCTTGTAACTGCACAATTGTGGTTTTGGATGGCATTGTTTTGTTTTATAGTTATGCTGTTGTTTGTTTTTTGTGAGCTGCCCAGAGAACCCCCAGGCTATGGGATAGCATACACATTAAACAAACAAATAAATCCCACCGTATCACATATATACCGTATATAAAAAGGCAGAGAAAAACGCATGTAAAGGACCTGCTCTTATCCCTACAGGGAAAACAGAAGCAGAGGCCTCAGTAAAGTGATAGCTTGAACACCTCATGTAGAGAAGCCTTCACTTAAAGTAGGAAGATGTAGCGACAAATCATGGGCTTTCATTCTATACCAACATAATGAGTTGCTAATTAAGGGTAGAATAGAAACTACAGCATGTTATATGCCATCA